ATATATATCCCCTAGTTGATTCGGTCTTCCGGGGCTTGTTTTTCATATCATGGTATCCTTGATAGAGAGTTTCTGCGTATAAAGAAGCCGCTGAACAAATGGTTTGTAATTGTAAAGTTGAAAGCATCAGTTTGAAAATTTAAAAGACGCCATCATGATTAGGTAGACCGTATGAAATATATGTATATGCAACAGAGGCCAAGAATAGGTATGTTCCACATGTGGTTTTCACAATCCCGTCATTATTGCCTAGTTTATGGTATCATCAAACGCGACTTATTATCGGATTTTTACTTGTCATGAGCAACACGTTGGGTATCACTAGTGGATTGGGAACTGTTTATACTCCTAGAGAACACAAGTGCGCGCACGATTTTCAGTGAGATTTGTGTTTTTGAAATGTTAGTTTTATTATTTTGCTGGTTCAGTGACTTAAAGATTTCAATAAATTTGTTGACTTTTCTTTGCCTTACTGATTGTCTCCTTGGTATATATAAGAATAGTTTATTTATATATAGTATCCTGCATGAAAATGACCGAAAGGGTAGACTAGAGAACAGGTATAACAAAAAATAGAGGAAAAAATCACAACTAGAGAGAATAAAGTTACAATAACATATACTGTATAGAGTGTGTCTGATGATCATTGAAACATATTCACCTATACTCTTCCTGTCCGGCAGTAAAACTCATGGTGAGAGGGACATATATTTGGCTATGTATAATTATACGTATGATTACGCAGACACGTACGGTCAGAATGGTAATGGATGTGAAATCGAGTGTCGAATGTACAGAGAGTGTCGCTCTCTTGGCACGTTAAAGAACCATTACAACCATATCTTTTTGTGGCTGTCTTGTATTATTGTCGAATTGTTCACGTCCTGAATATTCTTCAATTATTTGGCTTCGGGTGCTGAGCACAAGATAATCAATCAATCAGTCCTGTATATATATTATTTTTTTTGCATCTGTAATACGGAAAATTCTTTTGAGACACAGACTTCATACTTTTACCATTTACTCCCCAGTAACATCACAGAGCCTTATTGAAAATTGTTTTAATCCAAATGAGTGACTCCCTCTAAATAAAGATACTATTATTATTAGTAGTAGTAGAAGTACTTAGTCCGCGCTTAGGCTTTGAGTTAAAAGCTACAAATAACTTGCCTCATTATAGATTTAAGGATCAAGCTAATCCACTGGAAGGACATTTATGTAAATGTATTAATATCTTATGTTGTTTTAAGCTGGGGTAAGAAATTGTTGCAAGGGGGAATTTTGAATTAGGTTTCATTTAAACAAATTTGGATTTTGTTTTGATACATCAATATTAAGCGATTTTGTTTTGATGCATAAATCTCAAACGAGAGTAAATTTTTATCCATGCACGTGTGGTGGTATACTCATAAGGATTGTTAAGTTGAGTGAAAGTATCAATAGTGCAGCAGTTGGCAAACTGAAAGGTTATTAAACACGATCAAAGTCACAGCAGGTGTGCCCAAAGTTATTGTCATGGGCCTGATCTTGACATGTTTTTGGCCTATATAAATGATCCACCACATAACGTAAACCATGGAAAATGTAGACTTTTTGTAGACGATAGTATCAGATAATTGCTAATCAGACCACAAAGTGCAATAAATTGCAGGCAAATCTTGATGCAGCAGCAAAGTTGAAACGGGACTAGTTGCTGGCTATTCATCCCGACAAATGCACAGTACTATTTGTCACGCACAAAAAAAACAATAAGTAATCATAAATAATTAATTCCTCTACAATCATACATTAGAATTAAGCATCTTCTAAATACCTTGGGATTACACTTCAAATCTAAAATGATGAAATACACATATAAGTTATATAACATCTCTTATTGAAGTACCAAAACTCTTGGTTTTCCAAAACGCAATCTAAAAACATCAAAATAGCATATAAAGAGCCATGCAGGCATACCAATCAATAATCTGTCCAAAGTAAGTGAACACTTGCTCAGTCTGGATTCCACATTCATCAGAAAAGTGTTTGATTGAAATTATCCAGAGGTGATGTTTATAATGAATAGCGACATTACAAGTTGTACACACTAAATTGGACACCGAGAAAAATTACGAGAAGACCCCTTCTCGCCCGTGAACCTAGACTGCCTTATATCTTCAGAGAAGAGCTCACTGCTGTTAAAAAAACTCTTGTACATAATTTAAAGCATTTATTTTATTCTTCTGTATATCTTTACCTTTTTTGACAGCCAAAAAACAATACCTGATACACCGATACACTTCAGTTTCAAACTTTTAGCACCAGAACAGACTAATACAGTATCGTTTCCCATTCACAGTTTCATGTTTTGTTGAACTCATTTCCTCAAAAGATTCTCAGCTTTACCTCTTTGGGTCAGTTTAAAACACTGATGCAAAGTCATTACATTAAGACATCTGATATCAGTTTGTAAATATGTGAATTTGTTTTTATTTTATTTTTGCACAAATTCAACTTTTTGATTGCATTTTAAGAATCATTAATTTTCTTCAGTGTCTATTTCCGATGCCCCGACGTATGGTCATCAATGTGCTGATGGATCGCCGTACGTTGTAGATGTGGATGTAGATATCCTTCAAATTGTACCACATTGCACTTAATTTACTTTTGTTTGGTTGTTTTATGTAAACAGATCAGTCATGAACACTGTAATCACCGGTCTGTTTGGTGGATTACTGTAAAAAAAAGTCCTTTTCAGATTATGTTTTGTCTTAGAATTTCTATTATCGCTTTTGACACGGTTTTTATGTAAAAATAGTTAAACGAACATAAAACATTTGATACAAGTCTGACATGCTCGAAACAAGTCCGTTTGTAAAATAAAAGATGAGGTGTCTATCTAGACTACAAGTACTTTTGATCAACTTCAATCAAACTGACATATCTATTTCCCTTTCTAGTTTATTTAGATAAAAATATTTTTGTGAAACTGTTGAAATTTTTATAAAAATACTGAAAGCCACATCTTTTCCTGGCGTAGTTGGTAACAGTTTCGATATTGACTTTAATGTAATAATGATGCTGTACACGAACATTTCGATTTTCAATACAAACTACAATAGGACGCATCCATCCATGCTGCATTTTTCGCGGGGTTTAGAGAACGTAAATATTCAGATAATTCAGAAATATATGCGCATGCAACATAAAAATTGACTTATGTACTGATGGAAAATCTTACATCTGCAAGATAAAAACATTCATATAAACATAAAGAAGGTATTGAAAATATCATTATCACCAATGCGAAATTATTTCAAACTTGCAGGTTTTCAGTTCACTACCATCGTGCGATCTCAATAAATTATGTCTATTAATATCGTCTTTACAGGTAACCTTTTTTTATACCTTTTTCATGATTTTCAATATGTGGTGCAACCCATCGCCCATTGAAATTTTGGTTAACTAGTAAAGAATAAGGTATATAGAAAATATTTCTGCAGAAGTATTTGTGGGCGAGGGATGGCGCCACTGTTATTTAATCAGAAAACTGTCATAAATTTGCCAAATTATGCAAAAAAATCAGGTTTTATCAAATTCACCTACATTAATGACGTCACAAATACATCACTAATGACGCCATTGGTGAAAATCTTTTTTTAGTTTTCATCAAATTTTTTTAACACTATTGCAGTTAACAAATTTCAGACTTTAAAGGCCAAAATTATGAGTTAGTGATACAACTCCCTTACTGTCTCAACTCAAAATTTGATAGACATAATTAAGACATCGATATAAGAATATTTACGCGTGCAAAATATAATGCTTGAAATAAAGAATGGCAAAATATATACATTAAATTTAATGACATGTCAAAAGATGTTATAGATCATCTATCTTTGGCGTCCGTCCGTTCTACATGCTGAAAAGGGTTTGCGTCTCTAATTGTTAAAAGTATCCATGTTCAGTCATCATTGACTTTTCTTTCTAGTTCTTAAACCGTTTTTTTTTCAAGTTGTTATGTGTTACATTTGTATATATTTTATTTTATCTTGATTTCACATGCACTTGTCTCGAAGTTGATATTCTAAATTCTTTTACAAATTAATTAAGAAATGATTCATGGGGCTTGAATGTATCGTGTTTTTACCACGGGTTGGCCCTTTATGCAAAATATTTTACCCTGAGCGATAGCGAGGGGTAAAATATCGGCATAAAGGGACAACCCGTGGTAAAATCACGATATATTCAACACCCCATGAATTATTTCGATTCTAATAGGACAAATATGGCAATTCTTTTGGATCGAAGCGCTCTAGGTGGAGGCAAATATTTGCCGTTCCCAAAAATAAACCGTTGGGCGCACTATTATAAATTAGCGTAAAAGAACGAAGCAAACTGAATTAGTGACATGCTTAAACTATTTACAATAACGTATTTAAATCATGAGTTTTGGATGAATTTAAATGATAATTTACTTATATATCTCAAATGTATAAAAAAAAAAAAAGATGGCTTATAACACATTTTAGCAACGTTTGTTTACGTTTCCTTGTTGTGGTGATTTTCGGTTTCACAAGCGTGTATTTTCCCGTAAAATGCTTGTATTCTTACGTCATCGTTCTATGACGTCGGGAAGCTCATTCATAAAAAAGCATATGACGTGGGAGTACGATCGGAACAGCCCAGGCAATATATATTTATATTTTACCACGGGTGTGTTCTCAAAGCGTTTGAAGGACGTCATGTTAGAATTAACGGTATAGTATATGATGTATGTGTTCATGGTCATGGTATATCTGTTAGCCACAAATACTTGTGCTCAATTTCAGACCTTTGACGTTTTTTTATATATTATCAAAAAGACACAAAAACATCTGAATGCGTCGGATATCTTTTTTGAATTGTGAAATATTTTTTTTAATGAATTTCTTGTTAAATAACGGTACGAAGCAGTCTGTTCTATCTTAAAGAGCTAAAAAGTTATCAGACATATCTGCTCTTCAGTACGAAGGGTTGAATGTTATTTTCATTTTTTTCCCGCAAAACGTGAGAAAGAAAATGTGTTGATGTTGTGAAATTATGACCTGCAAAGTACAGAAGGATGAGTTTGTACTGTTCCGAAGTTGCTGTCTTGCATTCTGCATTTGCACTAGTAGAAAAACAGGTACTTTTGATCATTGATAAAGTGAATTATAGCACTGGCACTTGTGTAACAAAGTCTAATTTTTACTCCTTTGGCTTTGATCGAAGGCACTGGCTACGGTTACATGGAAATGTAACAATAATAAAAATATTATTGTTACATTGGAGACTAATTGCCGGAATATAGGGTTGGGTAAGGAACCGATTAATTTCGAATGTAACAATAATATAATTTTGTGTCTACGGTTACATTGCGTGATTGTTACACTAATGCACTGCAATGTACGATATGGGACTATAGTAATATGTATGAAAACAAAACTTGAAAACTTTTATTTGATATTTACAATATTGCATACAATTTTTAATTTTTTTATTTACAATGACAGTTTCCAGAAATCAGGCCAGTATGTTGTTTTTTTGGATCATGTTTAAGTCCAACGCATTTTTGTGAAATCCCTCCAAGCAGCCATCACAAACCAGTAAATACATTTTCTCAGCCCAAGTTCTTAACAGCGAACCATTGAACTATATTTTTTTCGCCTTTGGCACTACTAAACTGCTCTTTGGTTGGGGGGTTGTCTCTTTGACACACTCCCCATTTCCATACTCAATTTTAATATCTCTAAGAACATCAGAACAATTAAATCAATGCTTAATACTATTTAAACACTATTTGTTGAATAATTTTATTATTATTATTATTATTTATCACTAATATTATCTAGTACATATCGAAGAATTAAGCAACAAAACTATAGAAGGTTTAAGTTTAATATATCTTGCGTACATTGCAGTCTTTAATGTAGCAATAACGAAATGTAACCGTAGACACAAATATTATTGTTACATTCGTAAATAATCGGTTCCTTAGCCAACCATGTATTCCGGCAATTAGTCTCCAATGTTAACAATAACTTTTTTATTATTGTTACATTTCCATGTAACCGTAGCCAGTGCCTTGATCGAAAGGTTTGAGGTGACAAAACTTCTATATATTTTTACAGCTCCTGAAAAAAATTATGATTGCTATAATGGTACATTTAATAATATAAGATAAGGTGTATACTGTGAGGGGTGCCTATAATGTGCGAAATGAAAATAGAAACTAAACGAAGCAAAAATCAATGTACATGCATATGTAATCCATGTAATCAGGGACAGTCTATACGGGACTGGTCACTTATAACAATGTCTATACAAATTTGCAGACAGAACTGTCACGTGACTTCATAGCAAATCATTTCACATTTACGAAGTGTTTTTCATAACTATGTGTTCAAGTTTAATGAAGTAACATTTTTATGAAATTTTATACATTTTGTCATTGCAAAAAGCCGTTTTTGAAAAGATTTCTCGAATAGTTTTTAAAATATAGACCTTTGAACTTTGAGGTATTTTGTTAGTAAATTTCGAGTGGCCACCATCTTGTTCAATATGTAACCCCTTTTGCACGACTGGAGTGTTCTTCAAAACTATATGTCTCAGTTTAATAATTTAACATTCTTTTAAAATCTTATATTTTTTGTCATGGTACATGTAAATGGCTATTAATCAGATTTTATATTGAAAAATATTAAATTACAATGTACTTTGAAATACGCAAAAAAACTACTAGCTTCATATATCAGAGATAAGAAACTTAAGATTATTGTTGGTTGGTAGCTTTACACGGGAGGCGTAGTCATTTAATTAAAATCAATAGAGACGAGTCCGGTTAGTAAAGAAAGTCCCTGATGTAAGTGTTTAAGGAAGAAATAAAATAGGAATCAACAAAATGAAAAGAAATAAAAGGAAATTGTACTATATGTCTCTGATATAATGAAATGTATAACTACTCTTTAGCATTTTAATTTTTAAATGGGTTAGTTGACAATTTTGATATAAATTACATATACAGCATGTACAGTTTCAACTAACTGAAATCCTGTTTATTTTATTGTTTCAGATTGGGAAAGAGAAATTGCAAAAAATCTCAAAGGAAAAGTGTGAGAGTCCTGTTAAAATAGTGTGTAAGGCATTGGATGAAATTGTCCATGGCTTAGAAGAAGACAATACAACAGAAGAACAGGTTAATTTTTTTCCCATCTACATGTATATTATCAAAATTTTAGAAGTCATTATGTATAGTTTTCATATCGTTATATGTGTAAAAAAAAGTTTCATTTTAATATCTTTATACAGAATGTGTAAAGATTCATGTATAAATTTACAGATCTAACATTGTTGGGTTGTTATTTAGACGATTTATATATACAGAATGTGTTTTCAGCCTTGTATCACCATCACTGGTGATCTGATGGATAAAATCTGTCGTAGAGTTGTCACTGGTTCAGACGTACTTATTATATTATCTATAAATAGATATATGTATAAAGAGAATTTGATCTACCAATACATTTGTCCGATGATCATGATGTTTGTAGCTGATTATATTTATTCTTTGATATAATATTTTACATTGAAATAGTATATATGTATCATGTACATGTATAGACATTGTAAAGGTGAAAAAACAATAGACACAAAGCACCGATATAAAAGTACTCACAGTTACTGAAAGCTAGTTCAAAGCCAATTACAACTAACAGAACTCCAGTTAAGCTGCATATTTGCTTAATTATGCAATTAAAACAATAGAAAACCCAATTCAATTGTCCTCAGCATTTAAAAAACCAAATTCATTCAAGGGAGAACCCAATTATTTATTAAAACTATGCATTCCCAACCCTATTAGTCACTGTCAAGTGCGTTATTTACCCTAAATAATGAATATTTTTGTGGAGAAAGCAATAACTCTGTGCAATGACACTGGACATGAAATAACCATCCATCATCATGATCATATATTTATAGTGACTGTTTTGCTGCTTACATGGAAAATATTTTGGTTTATGTCACTAAATTGGGTAAAAATAAAACTGTCCATGAATCGATGTTAAATTGTTTTAACACATTCACAGAACTATAATATTGATGCATCATACACATGACAATGAATCAATTTTATCCAAACAGAGTAAATGTCTCAATTTTAAAACCATGATGAAAAAACCCCAATACATTCAGGAATATTGGGGTGAAAAACCCAATTCAATCTTTCCTGAGGGGTGAACTTGAACTGATGATGCAAAAGAAAAAACTATTTCACTCAATTACATAAAAAATGAGGAGTAAAAACCCTAATTAGTAAATTCTTATCTGGAGCTCTGAACTAATCATGCTAATTACAATAAATATTGTTTACTAACATGACTAAACACTCAAAATAAAATATATGAAAAAGGTTTTGTCATTAGACGATCTTTTTGGTGTACAAGAATAGATTAGACCTTATCTAGATGTAGTCACTAATACATGTATTTCTGGTTCATTTGTATGTAAAATTTAAGAGCACTTCTGATACATTGAGAAATGGAACAGGATATAAGGAGTTGTTTTTGAATGTTCAATTACAATTGCATCAAAATTATTGGACTGGCTTTACGAGTTCTTTATTTCAGCTACTATGTACAGTTTAACGCTACATGTATAATGTTGTAATTTAATTTAAATGCCCTGTGATCTCATGGTAACATTCCTACCTTGTGAGTGAGAGATGGTGGGTTCAAACCCTGGCTTTGTAAAACCAAAGTTTGAAATTGTTATTTTCTGCTTCTCCGCAAAGTATGTGTCATTTAAGAGTAAGAGAAGTAACTGGTTAGCTAATGTATCTGAGTAGAGAGCTATGGCAAAAAAAACCCTGTGTTTCTGCTAGCATGATGCAAAAAAAGATGGTCAGTAAGTAACGATAGGCAAATAGGTATTTTTTTTTTTTTTTTTAAGTTTTTGACTGGTTTAAATAGAGTAAACAGTCTGAATTGTACAGTGCTTGTTCAAAACTGACAAAAATAATCTTAAAGGGTAGGCACTAAAAATTAGGGTTATCACAGGTACTCTTTTAATAAAATCAGACCCGGCTTGTCGGACTTGAACGAAGGTATATTCTTAACTCCTTTAACATGTAACTGTCCTGAATATGTAAGTACTAATTTGCTGCTTGACATTAAACAGCCATCAATCAATCAATCAATTAATCAATTGAGTATGAATTTCAGATAGAATGGCAGGAGAAGTTACATGATATGCTGCTGTACAAAGTTTGTCAGTCATATGACACAAATCAGCCAATCATTAATGAAAATTCAGTTGTAGACAAAACTGATATGGTGACACAGATTTTTCCATCTTTTGGAATAGCATTTTATACTGAAATCATAAAGAGATGTGGATGGACTACTATGTTTTTATCTGTAAGTGTAGTATAAAATGTTGTCTGTTATTAGATTATCATCAACTTTAATGCTTTTTTGTATGAATATGAAAGAGAAGTTTACATGGTAAATAATATAAAAAAATATCTCATTAAATGTAAAAATTGATATAAATATCTTGTTATGGCAAAGTGTATGTCATTAGGCAATATTTCTTGTTTTTATGAAATTTTTTTAAAATCCCAAATTTAGCCCAATTACCAGTGATTACCTATACTTTGCTGAAATATAAGTAAAATGATTATTTGGGTTAAAAAGAAGCGGTGTTTGACATTTATTTTAAACTAGTCAATAGCTGACTATGCGATATGGGTTTTACTCATTGTTGAAGGCCGTACAGTGACCTATAGTTGTTAACTTCTATGTCATTTGGTCTCAGGTGGAGAGTTGTCTCATTGGCAATCATACCACATCTTCTTATTTTCTGTGTAGATTTCTCAATTGACAGTGGATGATATTCTTTCATGTAAATTCAGAAAATAATTTTGTATTTTTATCAATGTACAGTACCATTCAAACGGATCAGCTCTCCCACACCCTACACCAAGGAAAATTTCGGAGTCACTCCGAGAAACTCCGATATTCCTCCCAAAATGTTGGGAGGAATTTAGGAGTAATCTCTCCCAAAATCGCGTAAATGTTAATTGTGATAGCGCGCTCACTCCAAACACCGAGGAATTAATTGCCCTAATCCTACTTTAATCTATGCCGGCACACGACTGATAGGGTAATTGGATTACCTGATGTCATAAACAATTATATTTCCGGTCTACTGTACCAGTTTACATGTAAGTGTCAAACAAGTGTATAATTTTAAATGTCTTTTTATATTGGTTAAGTTTAATTTTTGTGTTAAAAATAAGTTAAAATATTTTCGTATTTCTTGCTTGCTAATCTAAAAATATCTTTACCTAAATGGACTTGCTTGTTTAAAAAAAAACGAACATTATCGAAAAAGGTTTATAAAATTTTGTGGAAAATGTGGAAAAAAACGCGAAATTCTACTTCAAAGCTGAATAAATGTGAGCAATTTAAAGAAAATAACGTGTCTCAAAGTTTTGTATACAAGTAAAAAAGAAAATATTATTCACCATTCGTTATGCTAAATAAGTCTACGGCATTTTCTTTTTATGATTATCTAATTGCTTGAAACAAATAAAAGATTTAAAAGCAAAATGTTGTTGTTAGTTCTTTCAATTGCATTAAAGTTTTATAAAAAAACATTTACGAAAAGGGACATACTAACTTGTGTAAAAATAAACTGAAACTACCGCTGATTAAATGTGAGCAGTTTAAAGAAAATTACGTGTCTCAAAGTTTTGTATATACAAGTAAAAAAGAAAATATTATTCAACATTCGTTATGCTTAATAAGTCTACGGCATTTTCTTTTTACGATTTGTTGGCATTGCTTTAGGATAATAATACATTAGGCTACAACAGGAATACTTCCACAGCTGCACAATGACTTGTCTTTGCATAATATTTATTTACGCACAATGAATGTAAACTTGTGTGTTGAATTTTGGACAGCACTTGATCTTAAAAAAAATTAATTTGCCGTGGGAAGACAATTCCACGATACACATCTCAGTGTGACTTCGCTCACAATATTAAATGCTAAAAATAAATGGCATCAATTTTATCCACAGCACGAGATCTTTATATGGCGGGAAATAATATCACGTACCAGTAAACTCAGGTGACCTCTCTGAACGACAGTGTGAAAATTCATTCAGGTCTTTAAAGTTGCTTTGTATTAATGATTGACATTTTTGTACGTTAGTATTGAGGCTCTAGAAGGTCCTTTTACAATTGATTAACCAGAATCTAAAATATAATCCTTTTCCGAATAAACGAACACACGTCTTCTTTAACTATTTTATTTTTTATGTTTTATCAGTCAAAACCTACCTGAACATTAGTTATACGTCCATGGTCATCAATATAAATTTATTGTAGATGAAAACACGATGCATGTCGTTAAGTTGGGTGTTGGTAGAGATCCTCTGTGAAAATATGTAGATCGTTAAAATCCTGTCCACTTATATTTTCTTGTAGCATCTGGGTACACAATATAATTTCATTTTAATATTTTTCGTATATAGGCCCTATATTTGATTTTTATACGCCCGTTTACGGGACGTATTATGGTAAACCTCCGTCCGTCCGTCCGTCTGTCCGTCCGTCGTCAACATGTCGGACATTAACTCAAAAATGCTTTAACCAATTTGCATAAAACTTTGGTGATTTGTTTATATCTATTGACATGAGCTCCCTTTCATTTTTTATAAAATTTAGGTTTTACGTTTCCGAGTTATGGGGTTTTATTCATTAAAAAAAGGGGGATTTTCGAGTTTTCGGACAATAAGTCAAGAATGCTTTAACCAACTTGCAAGAAATTGTGGTGAATTGTTTATATCTATTGACATGAGCTCCCTTTCGATTTTTATAAATTTAAGATTTTACGTTTCACAGTTACAGTGTATTATTCATAAAAAAGGGGGGGATTTTCCAGTTTTCGGACAAAAACTCAAAAATGCTTTCAGCAATTCTTATGAAACTTTGGTGAATTGTTTGTATGTATTGATGTAAGCTCCCTTTAGAATTTTATAAATTTTACATTTTACATTTCTGAGTTATGGGGTTTTATTCATTAAAAAAAGGGGTGATTTTCCAGTTTTTGGACAATAACTCAAAAATGCTGTCACCAATTCTCATGAAATTTTGGTGAATTGTTTATATCTATTGATGTTAGCTCCCTTTTTATTTTCATAAATTTCTAATATGACATTGAGAATTTATTTAACTTTATTTGTTTATAGTCTGACAACAGATTTACTAAGTATTGCACAACAGCAAGAAATCTTTAATTGAATATCAATTCAATTCATATAACCAATTTCAAGTTCTTTGACTACATTTATTCAGAAACCTATAATATGTCAAATATTTAATTACAATCGAAATTCAGACCTGAATCAAGCTTGAATATTGTGTCCATTTTTGCCCCAACTATTCAGGGTTGGACCTCTGCGGGTGTATCTAGCTTCGCTCAGCGAAGCAGTTTATTATACCCCACGCAACGAGTTACGGAGGGTATAATGTTTTTGACCCGTCCGTCTGTCTGTCCGTCCGTCAGTCCTGTTTCTTGTCATCGCAACTCCTCTCAAACCACACAACAGAATTTCACGAAACCTTTTTAGATAATAAGGACATACTATGTAGTTGTGCATATCGACAGGAAATTACGATTCAATTTTTATACGACCGCAAAAAAATTTTGTGGTCGTATATTGGTATGACGTTGGCGTCGTCGTCGTCGTCGTCGTCGTCGTCCAGCGTCGTCGTCGTCGTCGTCCGGCGTCGTCGTCCGAATACATATTGGTTTTCGCACTCTAACTTTAGTTTAAGTGAATGGATCTTTTTGAAATTTGACCATAAGGTTAAATACCACAAAAGGAAGGTTGGGATTGATTTTGGGGGTTATGGTACCAACAGTTAAGGAATTAGGGGCCAAAAAGGGGCCAAAAATGAGCATTTTCTAGTTTCCAGACAATAACTGTGGAACGGTGTATGGATCTCTCTGAAATTATACTACAAGTTTCCATACCACAAAGGGATGGTTAGGATTTGCTTTGGGGGGTTATGGCTCAAACCGTTTAGGAATTAGGGGCAAAAAAGGGGGAAAAACAAGGTTGTCCTGGTTAATGGACAAATACTTTAGTACAAAACATAATTTAAAGCAGTGTAAGGGAGATAAATCAAATACATCATTGAAATTATCTCCCTTACACTGCTTTTAAATTATGTATAAAGTAATGGTTAATGAACAAAAAAAAAAACCTAAAACAGTGTAAGGGAGGTAATCCAAATACAACGTTTTGGTTACTTCCCTTACTCTGCTTTTAAATTATGTTTAAAAAAATGCATATTTATAAAGGAAGACCAGTAAAAATATCTGCAAATGTTTTCATCTTTTTTTTTTACAAAAAAATCCATATGAAAGATTTGACACTATATTTTTATTAATTCTATTATAAAATAGATTAAGTTAGCACTATGGTAAATTTAAATGGGTAATTATGGTTGCCAACTCCATTGGAAATTTGAATTGAGATTATCACCATATCTTGAGGGAAAGAATTTTTTGGGGGGAAAAAGGGGGGGGGGATAAAAAGAAATTGTGGGGGGCCAATTTTTTCTCATTTCAGATTTCAGAAATTAAAAAGAATTATTCTTCAAATATTATTTTTTTTTCAAATTTCAAATATTGAAAAATTTCAAGAAGTAATCTTTAATTGCACAGTATGGCGCATTAGATTTGTAAAATCTTTGATCACATTTATTTATTTGTTATGCCGAATCTAACAGTGTATTTAGATTTTTAATTTTGGGTCCAGTTTTCAAATTGGTCTACATTAATGTCCAAAGGGTCCAAAATTAAACTTTGTTTGATTTTAGCAAAAATTGAATATATGAGGTTCTTTGATATGCTGAATCTAAACATGTATTTAGATTTTTGATTTTTGGCCCAGTTTTCAAGTTGGTCCAAATTGGGGTCCAAAATTAAACTGTTTGATTTCAACAAAAATTGAATATATGGGGTTCTTTGATATGCTGAATCTAACCATGTATTTAGATTTTTTATTTGTGGACCCCGTTATCTAATTGGTTCATATTGAGGTCAAAAGGGTCCAAAATTAAACTTTGTTTGATTTCATCTAAAATTGAATTATTGGGGTTCTTTGATATTCCAAATCTAACCGTGTATTTAGGTTCTTAATTTTGGGTCCTGTTTTTTAAATTGGTCTACATTGAGGTCCAAAGGGTCCAAAATTAAACTTTGTTTGATTTTAACAAAAATTGAATTCTTGGGGTTCTTTGATTTGCTGAATCTAAACATGTGTTTAGATTTTTGATTATGGGCCCAGTTTTCAAGTTGGTCCAAGATAGGGTCCAGTATTTAAACTTTGTTTGATTTCAACAAAAATTGAACATATGGGGTTCTTTGATATGCTGAATCTAAACATGTATTTAGATTTTTGATTATGGGCCCAGTTTTCAAGTTGGTCCAAATTGGGGTCCAAAATTAAACTTTGTATGATTTCAACAAAAATTGAATATATGATGTTCTTTGATATGCTGAATCTAACCATGTATTTAGATTTTTTATTTGTAGGCCCCGCTATCAAATTGGTTCATATTGAGGTCAAAAGGGTCCAAAATTAAACTTTGTTTGATTTCATCGAAAATTGAATTATTGGGGTTCTTTGATATGCCAAATCTAACCGTGTTTTTAGATTTTTAATTTGGGTCCCGTTTTTTAAATTGGTCTTCATTGAGGTCCAAAGGGTCCAAAATTAAACTTAGTTTGATTTTAACAAAAATTGAATTCTTGGGGTTCTTTGATATGCTGAATCTAAACATGTATTTAGATTTTTGATTATGGGCCCAGTTTTCAAGTTGGTCCAAGTTGGGGTCCAAAATTAAACTTTTTTTGATTTTAACAAAAATTGAATATATGGGGTTCTTTGATATGCTGAATCTAACCATGAATTTAGAATTTTTATTTGTGGGCCCCGCTATCAAATTGGTTCATATTGAGGTCAAAAGGGTCCAAAATTAAACTTTGTTTGATTTCATCAAAAATTGAATTATTGGGGTTCTTTGATATTCCAAATCTAACCGTGTATTTAGATTTTTAATTTTAAGTCCCGTTTTTTAAATTGGTCTACATTAAGGTCCAAAGGGTCCAAAATTAAACTTAGTTTGATTTTAGCAAAAATTGAATTCTTGGGGTTCTTTGATATGCTGAATCTAAACATGTGTTTAGATTTTTGATTATGGGCCCAGTTTTCAAGTTTGTCCAAGTTGGGGTCCAAAATTAAACTTTGTTTGATTTTAACAAAAATTGAATATATGGTGTTCTTTGATATGCTGAATCTAACCATGTATTTTGATTTTGGACATTGGACCATAATAGGTAAATTAAAAAAATTCAAGTTCTTAGACCACATTCTTTCTGTGTCAGAAACCTATGCTGTGTCAAATATTTAATAACAATCCAAATTCAGAGCTGTATCAAGCTTGAATGTTGTGTCCATACTTGCCCCAACTGTTCAGGGTTCGACCTCTGCGGTCGTATCAAGCTGCGCCCCAGCGAAGCATTTTATTTTTCTAGGAGTTACGCCCCTTTGAAATTATTTGCCCAATATACTACTGCAACAGTTTGTCATCGCAACTCCTCTCAAACCACACAACAGAATTTCATGAAACCTTTTCAGATAATAAGGACATACTACGTAGATGTGCAAATCGACAGGAAATTACGATTCAATTTTTTTTTCCAGGAGTTACGCCCCTTTGAACTTATTTGCCCAATATACTACTGCAACCTTTTGTCATCGCAACTCCTCTCAAACCACACAATAGAATTTCACGAAACCTTTTTAGATAATAAGGACATACTATGTAGTTGTGCATATCGACAGGAAACTACGATTCAATTCTTTTTCTAGGAGTTACGCCCCTTTGAACTTATTTACTTTAATGTACTACTGCAACAGTTTGTCATCGCAACTCCTCTCAAACCACACAACAGAATTTCATGAAACCTTTTCAGATAATAAGGATATACTACGTAGATGTGCATATCGACAGGAAATTACGATTCAATTTTTTTTTCAGGAGTTACGCCCCTTTGAACTTATTTGCCCAATATACTACTGCAACCTTTTGTCATCGCAACTCCTCTCAAACCACACAACAGAATTTCACGAAACCTTTTTAGATAATAAGGACATACTATGTAGTTGTGCATATAGACAGGAAATTACGATTCAATTCTTTTTCTAGGAGTTACGCCCCTTTGAACTTATTTACTTTAATGAACTACTGCAACAGTTTGTCATCGCAACTCCTCTCAAACCACACAACAGAATTTCATGAAACCTTTTCAGATAATAAGAACATACTACGTAGATGTGCATATTGACAGGAAATTATGATTCAATTTTTTTTTTTTTTATACAATTTTTTTTTCTTACACTTATTTTATTTCTCCAATGACAATGTGGGGACGTGGGATTTTATTTCTCCAATGACAATGTGGGGACTTGGGGTATGTGAGCGCGCTCACTAAGGTTCTTTCATTTTCTATAGTAATTGTTGAAATAGTTCATTTTATTTCATTTCGCCAAGGACTTTAAACGAGCAGTAAAATACGGATTGCGCTCATCCAATTTTTTAAAAAAAATAATCAAAGATCAATAACAGAGATAAACGATGATTTTTTTCCATATAATTAATTAAGTTGTGAATGTTGTGTTGTGTCTGGGCGGGGAATTTCTCTCGGTGTTTTGTTTTCATGAATAAAGGGCATGCATACAAAACTTATTCCCTTTGTTCAACCATAGATGTGTCTTTTCGGAATTCAAATAATTCAAATCGGTCATGTACCGAGGTAGTGAAACATAATATTTTTCATTGCAAAATAAATATGCACCTGAAATTGCTTACCGAGTAAGTCATAAAAGATTCTAATTGTGGTAAAATCGTCTTTGTTGAAAGAACTGACCAGACTATAATAGAAATACAAAATAAGTTTTTTCTTCGTATTTTTATTCGTTTGTACGTTTTATTTCAAATGACAATGACATAAGGCAAAAACATATAAGAATAATTATCTTATGCTGAATGATAATGTCACATTTTTATCTGTCAAAGAAAGGAAAACATTTGTTAAAATTTTAATACCGTGTTTTAAAGCACACAGGTGCAATCAAGATCGATTAGATGTACATAGGTAAATAATCTGGCTAATCCGATTATGTTGTCACGCGTCATTAATTTTTAGGACATCCGATGGGCAATAAAGCAATTAACAGCCACACGGTGTTGGGAGAGAATATTTGGAGGAAATTGGGAGTATAATCCGCGGTACGCGGTGTGACTCCGAAAAACATGGAAATCGAAAAAAAAAAACTATCTCGAATCGATTCGTTTAAATGGTACTGTATTAGGAAGGACATCACAATAGATTAGCTTTGGAACTGTAGCTCTCATGGTCATTGTGATATTTGAAAAAAAATATCACAAGGACCATAAGAGCTACAGTACCCCAGCTAGCAATAGATAAGACCTGATATCTAATTTTCACTAAAATATTGTACAGGAAGTACAAAAATTGAAATAATTAATCTGTCAAGTTGTCCAAGATTCACAGAATTTCATTGAGAATATTCTTAAAGTTCAGTTTTCAAATGGGTTCTTTGTGGGAACACTTGATTGCATTTGATTGATTGACAACACAGAAGGTATACTGATTCAAAGTGTTTGGTAGGGGAATTCTGTTGTCTCTAAATGAGGTATACAGGTTTGATTTGTTTTTAAATTAAATGTAAATATGTTTATTTTGCAGAGATTAGAAAGTTTACCAATAGAAATGGCAAGAGACATCTTTAAGGACATTCTTCATGTTTCATCGACCAATTTGAATGACAGTGATATAACTTTGATGTTAGAACTACTGGATTTTGTTCTGTCAAGGTTATTTACAAAGTCATGTGATGAGACATTCTTATCTCCATTCACTGAAGAGTCAACAGAAAGAAGTTTGATAGTGTCTGCCATTGTCACTATATTAAAACATTTTCAGGATTATGATCTAGGAAAATTTCATGACAATGTATCAAATGAAAATGTGAATTTTCAGATATTTCACATTTTAAATAAGAAAACACTTCTTCAGAACTTTTTATTACAGTTGTTTTTGTTAGGTGTTATATCGATCCCCTCAGAGGATTTCAATTTAAACAACTTGAAAAGATGGTTTTATTTGAACATCAGAGGGAAAGAAATAGATTTTAAGGAAAATGAATATGCACAGCCATCTCAGATGTTTTACAAAAGCACTGGTCTTGGAAAATACAGCAAACATTCACAGAAAGTTGTTGTATTTGATCTTGATTTGGAGTCCGTTCCAGTTTTACAGAAGACTTTTCCTTTGGAGATGTGGACCTTAGTTGTCACTAGACTTCTTCATTTGGAAACATGTAAACATGCATTGGATATTGCGCAGTCAGAGTCTGTATTAACCACAATTCAATTGTCAAAATGTCCGCTCCAAATATGCATGCCTGACAACACACCTGATAAATCGAAGATTGGTTCAAAGATTATTAACTTAGAATGTACTTTATCAAACCTTGTTGCTGTTAGTTTTCATATATTTTCTGAACACAAATTTCTCCAACCTGAAGATTTAGCTGTTTTGAGGAAGAGTGAATCAGATATTATTGACATTGATATGGAAACTGTGATATGGAGAGCGGAAAAAAGACAACCTGGATATAAAGGTAGTAACATTGTATGCCATATTCCATGGTAATTTCTATTAAAGGACATTTCACAACATCCACTTGGCAGAAGCGCTTCATACTAGAAAATATATGCATGATCAACACTTTCACAATCCTATAAACATGATAAAATTATAAAAGAAGCATTCTATTCTTACAATTACATTTTTATGCTACAACCATGAAATCAATAGTAATATCAAGTATTTTGTTCGTTTTTTCTAAGCACTGTTTTAACATTGTCACGGATAGTACATGCAGCCATAGCTGTATATTATACGGAAATGAAATATGATATTGGAGTGCCTCAGAATTGTGGTCAATCAGTCTAAATTACAAATTCAAATGAAACATACATGTAATGTAATCATTTATATGCACAAAATGACATGTTTATTTTATTGTTCCCTGCGTAACGCGTTGTTGGGGACATGGAAATACCGGGCGTCAGGTCTTGTTAGCGCTCTCATGTGTACAATTCTTGCCAGATTTTTATAAAACTTATACTATAGGTTAATATCAGCAATAGCTCAGACAAGTTCTATAAGAGTGGACGATCGACTTTTTTTTTTAAAGAGTTATGTCCCTTTGAAATATTAAATTTATGGAAAATGGCCTTGTTAGCGCTCTCACGGGTACAATTCTTGGCAGATTTTTATAAAACTTGTACTATAGGTCAATATCAGCAATGTCTCGGACAAGTTCTATAAGGGTGGACGATTGACTTTTTTTAAAGAGTTATGCCTCTTGGAAATATAAAATATGTGCAACACGGGGGACATTGGAACTCTGTTCTTTTATTTTATTTTATTTCATGTTCTTAGCTGTTTTGATATTGCAGTTTAAAATTTTGCTTTATCATAATATCTTCTGTCATTAGTTGACATCAAAAATCTACTTATTTTGAAATTATATAAATAATTGTAATAAACATCTGTGGAAAAGAGGTCGTAAACATCATGAACATTAACCTTACACATGATGCTATTACTGTATTTCAGATTGCATAGAGGAGCTGTTGAAAAATAAATACCCAGAAAACTGGACAGATAGCAAGTATGTTTCTAAACACGTTACACTGACATTCTTAGAATTTATACTAAGTCAAACGTTAACTCTGCTTCTCATATTGGGAATGGCATCCATCTAAGCAATTACTTTACAAAATATCACATTTAAGCCATTGATCATATTGACTGTTGATAGGATCTTAATTTGGATTGTGATGAAGAAGTGTCTTTATCATTCCAACGGTGATAATGTCACAAAAGCACGGGGGTCTTTTCCTATATAAATTTAGACACCGACCTCCCGCTGGTATGGGTCACTTTTATGGAATGTCAAATATATCAATGGGGTGTAATTTCACGGAGGTAATATATCAATGGGTAGAAATTATTATGTCAATTGGTCATACATGTTAATCTTCTGTTAAGATGTCTGTAAAAACCTGTTCTGTTCTTTTTATCTCATAATTTGAATCACAGATCCCATGTGGTTAACATCTCATTGAAATAAGATTTCTGTTGATTTTCTTATGAAATAAATGAATCGGTAGGGATTTTCGCATAAATCAATATACAAACGGGGGGATGTTTTTCAAACCCAAGCCATACATTTGTATCCAAATTTGTAGGTTGAGACCCCATGTTCTCAAAAGCTGTACATAGTGTAAAACATGGGGCAAATTTTAGTTACCAGTCAAAACATTTAGGATCATATAATTGATCTTGCCATAGTTTTGAGAATACCGCTATTTATCATACATTATAAGTTCTGGCCCTTCCATCAGCCAGTCCATTAGTTGTTTTGTTTCAGGATTCTTAATCCAATGCTTTATATCTGATTGCAACCATACTTGGATTTATGGGGAATTATACTATGAGGAATATCCCTATTGATAATGAGGTCATTACCTCCAATCTCAAGGTCATAGTTACAAAAAAAAGACTGAGATTTGTGCTGACTAGTGGTTCCTGGATCAAATACTACATATGGGATTGCCACCATACTTGGATATATGGTCACATATACTAGTGAAGATCCCTATACATTTGGAGGTCACTAAGTCCAAGGTCAAAGTTAATAACTAAATATAGACTGAAATTTATGGATAAAGTGTTTCCAGATGCTGAATCAAATATTATATGTAGGCAGTCATTCTTGGATTGATGGTCATATATAATTGGAGGTAGATTCCTTTTGATTTTGAGGTCATTGCGTCTAAGGTCAAGGTCATATCTACTAAAACTACACTAAAATTTTTGCCCAAAAGTGATTTCTACATAGCAAATCAAATACTACATATGTGATTTGTGCAACCTTACTTGGATAGATGATCACATATACTGAGAGGAACATCCCCATTGATTCTGAGGTCATTTCTTCAAAAGTCAAGGTCAAAGCTACGAAAGATAGACTGAAATTTGTGAAGAAAGTGGTTTCCCCGATGTTAAATCAAATGCTTCATATGCATTTACAACCTTATAAAAACAAGAAGATGTGGTATGATTGCCAATGAGACAACTCTCCATCAGACACTAAATGACATAGAAGTTAACAACTATAGGTCACCATACGGCATTCAACAATGAGCAAAACCCATAACACATAGTCAGCTATAATCTCCCTGAAATGACAAATGTAAAACATGCCTGATTTATGTACAAGACAATGAACGAAAAACAAATATGATATATACAGCAATAAAATGACAACCACTGAATTACAAGCTCCTGACTTGGGACAGCACACACAGAATGTGGTGGGGTTAAATTAGTTTGCTGGCTCCAAACCTTGGACATATGGTTACATAAATGAGTCACTAGACATAAGGTCAAGTTTATATCTACAAAGATGAATTTGTGTAACACAATATTACTGTCTGAAATCTTAACCAAAAAGAATCATATCTTAAAGTAAACAGAAAAAAACTATTCCATCACATTAATATAAGCTTTCCCTCGGGGCGTGGGGTATGTGAGCTTGAGTTACTTAGAACTGTCATTTAGAACGAGATACTCCCAAATTGTAGTTTTGGTTCCTGACATGTATTTCAATGATAACCAGCTGCTGGTTCTATTTATAGAGTGCTGGTTACTAATTGATAGTATGGCCTTTCTTGGTAATTGTGAATGTTAGAGTTGTAATTATTCATCTTGATCATTTATGTCTAAATTTTTGACATGACTGCCAAATAAGCTACAAATATGACCGAATCAAGACTCTTGTTTTTAAAATGCACACATACACACATTTATGAGCATTTTCATTGCAGGCTCATGAAAACCTTACATAGAAACCTTGATTTATTATCAGTGGATGGGAGTTTGTACAAGATGTATGACCTTGTAGTTGAACTTGAATCTGTAGTCTCGCAGCAAGATGTGCTAGCTGTAAAAACGGTTAGTTTTCTACTCTCATCCAGTATTGTTTACATTAATATGTCTTGTTGCAGGTATTCTAATGATCAAATATAATCGAAAATCAGTTGGTTGAGGTAATCTAATAAGACAATGGTTTGTAAAATTTCACTATAGATTATGATCAGTTATAAATAAATACTTTCAAAGGCTAGGAGTCCACTTTAAATGATTTCAGTTATACATGTTAAATATCCCAGCAGATATGGGAAGTTATTTTGTTGTATATATAGTGAACTTTTAAGGCATTACCCGGTACTTTTTGTTTGTAATGTTTTAACACAGATATAAAGACTGTCATTCATGTTCCTGTTGGCTCTTTAAAGAGGGTCGGTCGTAATGGGGGGTACCTTTATGACCAATAATGGTAAAAAATCTTGCCAAATGACGTTCATGGTAATTTTTGGTGCATGACAATAACATTTTCATTTTCTTTATGACGATAAAAGAAATCTACTGATTTTGACAAATCACGTTAAATTCTTTCAAAAATAACGGTAACAGATAATTATTTGAGACCTCTGACAAATCACGATAAAATTTTAACCAATTTGATGCTAACGGTAGCTGAAAATGACCTTTTGATGTCTGACGGTAAAGGGCATTCCTACCCTCTCTAAAAACACAACTGATAACATAATTGATAATTAGCCTAAGTTTATCACATATAATATGTTTTATTAGCTGGTTACATCAGCTTTTGTCAGACTACCAACAGAGGTCAGAGACAGGCATATCCATGATGTATATCAGAAGTACCGATACTGGCCAAAAAAGGATTCAGTTTTATCAGGGGAGATTACTGCAGCTTTCAACAAACTAACCAGTTGTGGACCCAGTTCAGTAAGATATATTTATAACTTTAAGTACAGTTATAATTTAATAATTTAAACCTTTGTTTTGTCTAATTTTGATAAAAATGGAAAAAGAACAAGCAGTAAGTTGTGAATGTATACTGGTATATTTGCAACTCATATGATTTCAAAAGATATTTTGCAATCAGAGGTCAAGAAAAGATTAAAAACTGTCATAATGATTTAGTCTTTGGCTTTTAATTTTTGTGACTAATAGAAACATCTGTCATTTTAGCATTCATAATACTATACATTTTACAATGATCTTTTTAAACACATCATGAACAATTTGATTTCAAAAAATTACTGAAATAGTTCATGATGTGTTTAAAAAGGTCATAGTAAAATGTATAGCATTATGAATGCTAAGATGACAAAACTTTTCCAAATAATGTAAATTCAGAATTTTTTCATTGTCAAACATTTGATGGGGTAAGTATCCTGTTAATTAGAACTTGCAATTCAAATTCATATCACATTATTTGTACTCAGCATTTTCGGAGAGGCATTGGCTATGGGCGTACTATACAAATGATATCTCATGTTGATTTTTTTACTTTGAAATTTTGTCACATTGTAATTTTGAAATGCATTCTTGAAATATTCAAAGAAAATATATCTTCATCACTTACTTTTCGAGATGTTTTTTTTTTTTTAGATTTTTTTATGTTTGAAATAAAATAGTAGTTTAATACTTCAATACTTTTCTTTAAAGTTACACTTTTATCAACCAAATAGAAACTTATTGCCATATTGCAGTATTTCTCAATAACGTTTGCTTGTTAACATATATCAGTATTCTTTGATATACTTTACTTACAGAAGGTGAATGATGTGTACAAACACATGTTACAGAACCCAGAACTTGTACTACAATACATTGTAGAGCGAGCCATTACCTCAAAAGATCAAGTTTCTATCTATACTGAGGTTAGCATACATATAGATTATATACCACCCTGTTGATAATCATATTTATCGACCTTCACTTTGCCTCAGTCCCTCCATAATTCTATCACTGCTTTGAGACATGAGCAGACATTATCAGCGATGTCACAATGTCTGAGGAGAAGTTATTAGCGACATCACAATGTGTAAGAGACGTCATTAAGCTTACTTTTGTTAATGATAACACTGTTTTAAGAAAAGAGGAAAAGACCATTAATAGAACAATAAACAGATAACCAGGTGTTCTACATATAGATATTGTATATTATTATACATACAGCTGCTCTACGCAATGTAAAGCTTTTTTGCTTATTCGTTGTGCTAACTAACCAAAAAATGTTCACATTCTGATATTTCACATTACCTAAGTGTAGAAAACCAAATAATCTATAAGTATTCACTCAAGCTAAAATTTTCAAACTTTTAACTGTGAGGTTTTTAAAGCATTTTGAAAAATTGAAAATTTAACTACATATAGTGGATAAATATTGCAGTCAACAGCTGTTTCTCTAAAGACTTCAAGGAAAATGTTAAGTGCAATGTTCTGATAAAAAATGACAGGGAATTGCACATGTCAAACCCTGTGGGAGGGTTCTAAAAGTAGTGTTATTTTGATTTCTAGCATTTCCTGATATTTTGGCATCCTATTTACTCCATATCTACACCTTTGACAGAATTGTTTAGTAACATACCTGCCAACTTCCATGATTTAGGTGTGAACTACACAATTTTGACCCCTTGTCACGATTGCACGATCTTGATTGTGAAAAAAACTCTGAAACACAATTTCGTGAAATTCTACATGAAGAAAATGATTGTTCCCGATTTTGAACTTCCTCCAAGGAAAACGATTGTGATCAACCAATCTGTAATCTGTTAACGAATTTCTGCCAGTCAAGGCACACCTCCATATAGGGAGGAAAGTAGTTCCACCACTGAGATTCCTCCACCACTATATACACAGTTCGATTTATGGTTCACAATATTTCGTACATAAGGATTACGTTATTTAATATATATTTACGCCACAACAGTGTTAAAAATATATCAAATGCAATTAAAATGGTAAAACTTAATTTTAAAAATAAATTAACAATAAAGACAAAAAGTACAATTATATTTTTTTTAACACTGTTAAAAAAGATTTATGCATTCATTAAAAATTGAAAGGACTTTAAAACTACTAAAAGAGGAAGGTCCATGTGTACCCCCACATATATATATTACAACTAAAATGAATTCACATTTCTTAATTTTCTGCTTGATCTTGTATCAATTTTTGCCAACACAGCATAGCGCTTGGAATGAAGTGTATATAATAGTTGCCGACATAGCGGTACCAAGTGATTACCGACTCTGTCTTCAACATCCTTGTATATTTTCTTTGAGATGTAATAATACGGGTTTATTATTAAAGTTATTAAGTCAATAGGAGTTTGCAGGCTTTCTCTTGCTAAAACCAGACTACCTTCATGTAGTATTTTGCCAATAAGAGATGTTCTTATTTGTGACGTTGTTTCACACAGTAAGATAAAATGTTCAATGGTTTCATCAGTATTATTACAGAGTCTACACATCGGATTTGTTGCATAATTTGAATATTCCGCTTTATTAGATTGAAGTATGTAGGTTCCAGTGACTAATTTAGAACAAATGGACAATTTCTTTATCTCAGTTATATTTGCGCTTGTTGTTTTTAGTAAAGGATGGATTCTGCCAATATCATATTCACCTTTAAGATATCTTAGTGTTGAGTACCCCTTCATTTTGGTCTTAATGGCACCCTCCCAGTACTTATGAATCTTTTTGGTTATAAACCTCTTCTATTCAATTTTTGTTAACAGCTTTTCAAGATACTGTTCTAAATCTACGATGTCATATTTGCCACATATCTTTTTCAGATCAATAAACCAGCTATTGCTTGAGTAGGTTTTAATTTGAAGTTGACGTTCTTCTATTCTCCACTCTATGGACGATCTTTCAGATCTGGTTATATTCCCAAATATTGTAATAATCTTGATATGGATCTCTGATTCAAGTGGGAGCAGGCCTGATAATATATAAACAGCCGGGTCAGCTACAATTAGGTTGAGAGATAAAATCTGCTTAATCCACCTTTTATGTTGTTGTATAAGATCTAAATTTTTACCTGATGGTACCAAGACTTCTAAACTGTAGGTAAAAAGTGGTAAGATATATGTTCTAAATAAGGAGATTAATGTTTCAGGGTCTAATCCATGTTCACCATGTAATCCTGCACCCATAAAACTGTACATAGACCTTCTGGTTTTTTTTATATTTTCAGTGTTGGTTGCATTAGTTGAGTCTTTCTGAGAATTTTTTATTCCAATATGAGTCTTGAACAATGGGCATATCTGTATTTTTAAGTTTCCAAAAACCTTGCTCAATATCTAGCATTTTGTTACATGTTTTGATTGGCAAGACTTCACTTTTTTGAGGCTGTAGTAGATATCCCTCTCTTTGGCGGAAATCAACCGCTATATTTATCATATTTTGGAGTTCAAAGGGATTGTTGGATATTAAAGCAACATCATCCGCACAGGTAGGTGCACAACAGTTTATATTTCAAATTTTGGCTCCTAGTCCTGAGTTGCTCAGAATTTGTAAAAGAGGGTTGATATAAACTTTGTAGAGATCAGCGCTAAAGGCTCCTCCGCCTGGTCTTACTCCTTGTTCAATGTTGAATAAGCGATTTGACATTGTATTGCCCCATTTTACACAGGATGTTGCATTTTCATATAAATTGCTGATCAGCAGAACGGATTGCTGTGTAAAACCAATTTGAAAAAGACGCCATATTAGGTTTTTATGAACTACAACGTCAAAAGCAGATTTTCCATCTAATATTGCAACATAGGTTGGTAACTTGAGATCTTTATTTTCTCTTTCAAATTCTTCAATGAACAATTCACATAGCAATGGAGTGGATTTTGCTGTAAAGCCTTTTTGCAATGGGTTTTGATGTTTCAAGATCTTATTGTTTTCTCTTCCTTTAATTATAATCTCTATGCATGATCTTCGAGTAAGTTGGTGTTACAGTGATCCCTCGGTAATTTTTAGCATTCTTTATGTCACCTTTGTTTTTGAATACAGGGTAAAGGGTTCCAATTTTGAGTAAATTAGGTATGTAGCAATGTTCAAAACTTGTGTTAATGAGGTATGTAGCAATGTTCAATACTTGTGTTAATTAGGTATGTAGCAATGTTCAAAACTTGTGTTAATTAGAAGTTGTAGGTACTCTAGAAATGTTTCACTGGCGTGAATGAAATTTTCAGCAGTGATTCCATAATAGTCAATAGCTTTGTTTGTATTTTATTTTTTGACAGCATTTTTCAATTTTCAAATCAAAGTTTATGTTTCTCATGATCATTTTAATAAACCAATCAAAATCATCGTTCTCTTGATTTATCATAATTATTGGCATTGCAAACATGCTAGATTTTGAACTTGTTTGGAACATTTGAGTTGTATTCCTCTGTCTGTATGTCAGAATTGTAAAAATCGTGATCATGGCAGATGAATTTTCATCTGTAAGAAGGTTCTTACACAGCTCAAGAAGAAAGGCATGGCTGATTGACAAAATTCAAAGATGTAGTACTGCCATAAACATAATGTTCTCACACAGCTCGAGAAGAAAGGCATGGCTGATTGACAAAATTCAAAGATGCAGTACTGCCATAAACATAATAAATAGTAGCTTATGGACATTACACTTATTGTACCAGATCATACATTGTTGTCATTCTTGTTATTAAATTACCAAATCATTTAAGTACAATGTACTATCTTTTATTTTTCACAAGGAATCAGATAAATGTCCTTCTTTGAGCATATTTTTAAATTGGAGAAGTCAACAATCACGTTAATATTCCTACACAAGAAAGTATATTCTGGTTACATGTTCATCTTTTCTACACAATGATATAATTACTAGAATCATGCAAATAAAAAGTAGAAAAAGGCTGATAAGCTCATCATCAGTATACCCTATAAATAAAAGATATGACACTTTTTTTCTAGAGCCAAAAACACTCAGCAAAAGATTTTAACCTTTGAAATTGTTGTCACACACTAAAACTCCCATGGGGATTTTCAAAAGTTGGCTGGTATCTAGTAACACCCTAAGATTTAAATATTTTCATCTGAGTATTAAAGGGTCTTATAACGTTTTTTTATCAAATTTTTCAGTGTTTGTTTTTGTTAGTGTAAAGGTTATGACTTTATATATATTTTGTTATGTGTTTTCCACTTAGCTGTGTTCTCCCCAGGGCCTTATTGTTCTATGGTACCATGGTGCTATCTTAATAGGTTTTATTATAAATTAGGGAAACATTTCTATTTCAAATCCTGTGTTGCTTTTTACTCAAGATTAATGTACAACCTTTGTATTTGTCATATATAACAAATTACAATGATTCCACAACTTTTCACACTTGCATGCTACACTTTTGTTATAAATTAATCACTGATAATTATGCATTCAATATTTTTAAAATTATTCCAACAAATTTAAATTTCTACCAGCTGTTCATAAGAGAAAGTTTGTTTCAAATTAACATGTATACATTAACTCTTGCAGATTTTGAAATCAGTGCCAAGTATTTGTAAAACATGTCACCACAGCAACAGTCATGTGACCCTACTTGTCTACACACTTAGTGGTTATCTACAGACACAGACTTTGACTCTAAAAGATCAGAAGAATGTTTTGAAATTTATAATGGAAACTTGCATGGTAAGATGTGTGTAAGACAGTCAGAAGTAATACTTATACAAGTTATTTGATATACTCGTAGAAAAAAATATTTACTTCAAGAGATCTAGAAGAAAATATATATTAAATGATGGACAGGTATCAAAACCATTTTAAGAGCTCTAAATTACTTGACCTTGCGGTCCTAAAAATTTTGAATACAATTTTCGTACTCATACTCAGAATTCAACCAATCAAAATACTGTATTAGGTGTTTCGGGCACAAATTTTGTACTAGTACTGAGTAAAGTTTTATGACCCAGAGCCCTGATGTCTTAACAAGGAATGATTTAATGTTCGTTTGAGCTTTTGATTTTGCCATTTTGCCATTAGATAAGGGACTTTTCGATTTGAATTTTCCTTGGAGTTCTGTATTTTTTGTTATTTTCCTTTTTTTTTTTTTAAATCATCAGAGATTTATAAAAATATGATATCAGCAGTATATTTCTAAATTAGCAAAAAATATTAATATGAAAGAAACAACAATCACCACTGTCAGATGTTGTTCTTGAACATTTCAATGTTGTGGGGTTAAACTTATTTTGTGAGTATTTAACCCTCTTTCTATTTAGTTGATCATTGGGAGACAAAAAGATTTTAAAAAAACCTCCTCATTTATTAGTCCAAAAAACACTTAATTCAATCCTAAAGGTATAACATAAGATAAGACCTCAGCTTTTTGCTTTTTATTTTGTAATAATCAAGACAAAATATGATATCAGGTTAAAAATTGTTTGAAAAAGCTTTTTTTTTAAAGTACAAAGTGTCAGTTTTGAATTATTTATTTTTATACCCCCGCTTTAAAAAAGTGGGGGTATACTGTTTTACCTCTGTCTGTCCGTCCATCCGTCAGTCCATCCGTCCGTCCCATGAATATTTTTCGTCGCATCTTTCTCAATAACTACGTAACAAGGATTTCTGAAATTTGGTTTCAGGGTTTATATAAGTCAGCTATACTGTGTGATGCTTTTTCAGATTCATCACTCAACAACTTCCTGTTTACCGAACACTTACATCAAGTTGAAATTTTTTGTCACATTTTTCTCAGGAACTACATTACAAGGATTTCTGAAATTTGGTTTCAGGGTTTATATAAGTCAGCTATACCGTGTGATGCGTTTTCAGATTCATCACTCAATAACTTCTTGTTTACAATCAAGTATTTGGGCGGGGGTATCATCAGTGAGCAGTAGCTCGCAGTTTCACTTGTTTTTGACTGGATTAATTATCCTATAACTTATGTATTTTCAGCCAGAAGAGTACCTCAAAGATTCTGGTTCCTTGCTTGATCCAGTACAATTCCTAGAAAAGAGTGTCTTACCATACTTAAATGTAGATAATTTATATGTTACTTCATTACCAGTTACAGCATGTTTTGCCTTGGAGATGTTTATGGAGGTGGTTGAAGCAATACCCAGAAAGAATGGATTGAAAGAAGAACAAGAAAAGAAATACATTAGAAAAATCTTCAAGGAAGTTAATTTTCCAGCAGTATTTCTATGTCTGTGTGAGCTAGCACATGAATGTATAGATTTAAGTGATGCGGATGAATTTATAGCTAGTCAAAAACTAAAAATAAAGGAAAATCTGTTTACTTTATGGCTTCATCTGGACTACAGAAATTACATTGCGGAAGAATTTTTAAGCATTCAAGGTAATTAATTATCTCTGCCCTTATCCCTTTCTGCATAATCAGAAGCCAGTCTAGAAATACAGGTATTACATATTAAAATATGTCATCATGAAATATCTTTCTCTGAAACCACTTAGAAATCTGAGTTTCTGTTTTCAAAGGTTGCAAATTTGCTTTAAATAATGAAAGATCCAGGACCATTTGAATTTTCAAGTGAAAGATCCTCCTTTATAAAGTCAACAATCCTGTATAATGCAGCAGTGTGAGTTTAGGAGGTGCTTGACTTTTATAATTCAAAAATGAAAAGTCCCCTAGTAGAAAAGATAGGTTCCTGACCTCGGACCCACAGTTATTTGAAATCCTGGGTTTGCTAGGATGATTCTTATGTTTCATACCAATTGACCACATTGAATACTTGTTGGTATCGTTTAGTAGCATAGGGTAGGTGAAGGAGCTTTTGTTTCAAATTGAGGATTTAGGATGGAGATCTTTTATTTACTAAGGGCATTTATGAAGTAAAATACACGTTGAAAGGGACATCATCTCTTACCCTTGTTTGTAATACAGTCTTAGGTCAAAAGTGTTTCGCCTTTCTGAAATTCCCTTATAATTTCATATAAAAAACATGTTTTTATGCACCCACCGTAGCGGAGAGGGCATTAAGTGTTACCCTTGTCAGTCTCATCCGTACGTCCCTAAAATCCATCTCGTCAGTACGTCCCCAAAATTGGTTTCCGTTCTCTAACTTTAGTTTGCCTCAACCAAATGTTATAAAACTCATTTATACACAATGCTTATTACCACAAAACACAGATCAAGTTTGAAATTGGGTGGCGTTACTTTTAACGTTCATGAGTTATGCCCCTTTATAAACAAAAAAATTGCTGAATTTTTCGTATCTGTTATCTTACTTTAGTTTGCCTCAACCAAATGTTATAGAACTCATTTATACACAATGCTTATTACCACAAAACACAGATCAAGTTCGAAATTGGGTGGCCTTACTTTTTACTGTTCATGAGATATGCCCTTTATAAACATAAAAATTGCTTAATTTTTTGTTCCTTATTCTAATTTTAGTTTGCCCAACCAAATATTATGAAACTTATACACAATGCTAATTACCACAAAACACACATCAAGTTTGAAATTAGGTGGCGTCACTTTTTATACGACCGCAAAAAAATTTTTGTGGTCGTATATTGGTATGACGTTGGCGTCGTCGTCGTCGTCCGGCGTCGTCGTCCGAAAACTCATTAGTTTTCGCACTCTAACTTTAGTTTAAGTGAATGGATCTCTATGAAATTTTACCATAAGGTTCAATACCACAAAAGGAAGGTGGGGATTGATTTTGGGGGTTATGGTACCAACAGTTAAGGAATTAGGGGCCAAAAAGGGGCCAAAAATAAGCATTTTCTAGTTTCCAGACAGTAACTGTGGAAAGGTGTATGGATCTCTCTGAAATTATACTACAAGTTTCCATATCACAAAGGGATGGTTAGGATTTGCTTTGGGGGGTTATGGCTCAAACCGTTTAAGAATTAGGGGCAAAAAAGGGGGAAAAACAAGGTTGTCCTGGTTAATGGACAAATACTTTAGTACAAAACATAATTTAAAGCAGTGTAAGGGAGATAAATCAAATACATCATTGAAATTATCTCCCTTACACTGCTTTTAAATTATGTATAAAGTAATGGTTAATGAACAATTAAGATAATTTAAAACAGTGTAAGGGAGGTAATCCAAATACAACGTTTTGGTTACTTCCCTTACACTGCTTTTAAATTTTGTTTAAAGAAATGCATATTTATAAAGGAAGACTAGTAAAAATATCTGCAAATGTTGCATCTTTTTTTTTTTACAACAAAATCCATATGAAAGATTTGACACTATATTTTAAATTCTATTATAAAATAGATTAAGTTAGCACTATGGTAAATTTAAATGGGTAATTATGGTTGCAAACTCCATTGGAAATTTGAATTGAGATTATGACCATATCTTGAGGGAAAGAATTTTTTTGGGAAAAAAAGGGGGGGGGGGTTTAAAGAAATTGTGGGGGGTCAATTTTTTCTCATTTCAGATTTCAGAAATTAAAAAGAATTATTCTTCAAATATTATTTTTTTTTCAAATTTCAAATATTGAAAAATTTCAAGAAGTAATCTTTAATTGGACAGTATGGCGCATTATATTTGTAAAATCTTTGACCACATTTATTTATTTGTTATGCCGAATCTAACCGTGTATTTAGATTTTTAATTTTGGGTCCAGTTTTCAAATTGGTCTACATTAAGGTCCAAAGGGTCCAAAATTAAACTTTGTTTGATTTTAACAAAAATTGAATATATGGGGTTCTTTGATATGCTGAATCTAAACATGTATTTAGATTTTTGATTTTTGGCCCAGTTTTCAAGTTGGTCCAAATTGGGGTCCAAAATTAAACTTTGTTTGATTTCAACAAAAATTGAATATATGGGGTTCTTTGATATGCTGAATCTAACCATGTATTTAGATTTTTTATTTGTGGCCCAGTTTTCAAGTTGGTCCAAATTGGGGTCCAAAATTAAACTTTGTTTGATTTCAACAAAAATTGAATATATGGGGTTCTTTGATATGCTGAATCTAACCATGTATTTAGATTTTTTATTTGTGGCCCAGTTTTCAAGTTGGTCCAAATTGGGGTCCAAAATTAAACTTTGTTTGATTTCAACAAAAATTGAATATATGGGGTTCTTTGATATGCTGAATCTAACCATGTATTTAGATTTTTTATTTGTGGACCCTGCTATCAAATTGGTTCATATTGAGGTCAAAAGGGTCCAAAATTAAACTTTGTTTGATTTCAACAAAAATTGAATATATGGGGTTCTTTGATATGCTGAATCTAACCATGTATTTAGATTTTTGATTTTTGGGCCCCGTTATCAACTTTGTCCACATTGAGGTCAAAAGGGTCCAAAATTAAACTTAGTTTGATTTTAACAAAAATTGAATTCTTGGGGTTCTTTGATATGCTGAATCTAAACATGTGTTTAGATTTTTGATAATGGGCCAAGTTTTCAAGTTGGTCCAAGTTGGGGCCCAAATTAAACTTTGTTTGATTTCAACAAAAATTGAATATATGGGGTTCTTTGATATGCTGAATCTAACCATGTATTTAGATTTTTTATTTGTGGACCCCGCTATCAAATTGGTTCATGTTGAGGTCAAAAGGGTCCAAAATTAAACTTTGTTTGATTTCAACAAAAATTGAATATATGGGGTTCTTTGATATGCTGAATCTAACCATGTATTTAGATTTTTGATTTTTGGGCCCCGTTATCAACTTTGTCCACATTGAGGTCAAAAGGGTCCAAAATTAAACTTAGTTTGATTTTAACAAAAATTGAATTCTTGGGGTTCTTTGATATGCTGAATCTAAACATGTGTTTAGATTTTTGATAATGGGCCCAGTTTTCAAGTTGGTCCAAATTGGGGTCCAAAATTTAGCTTTATTTGATTTCAACAAAAATTGAATATATGGGGTTCTTTGATATGCTGAATCTAACCATGTATTTAGATTTTTTATTTGTGGCCCAGTTTTCAAGTTGGTCCAAATTGGGGTCCAAAATTAAACTTTGTTTGATTTCAACAAAAATTGAATATATGGGGTTCTTTGATATGCTGAATCTAACCATGTATTTAGATTTTTTATTTGTGGACCCCGCTATCAAATTGGTTCATATTGAGGTCAAAAGGGTCCAAAATTAAACTTTGTTTGATTTCAACAAAAATTGAATATATGGGGTTCTTTGATATGCTGAATCTAACCATGTATTTAGATTTTTGATTTTTGGGCCCCGTTATCAACTTTGTCCACATTGAGGTCAAAAGGGTCCAAAATGAAACTTAGTTTGATTTTAACAAAAATTGAATTCTTGGGGTTCTTTGATATGCTGAATCTAAACATGTATTTAGATTTTTGATAATGGGCCCAGTTTTCAAGTTGGTCCAAATTGGGGTCCAAAATTAAACTTTGTTTGATTTCAACAAAAATTGAATATATGGGGTTCTTTGATATGCTGAATCTTACCATGTATTTAGATTTTTTATTTGTGGACCCCGCTATCAAATTGGTTCATATTGAGTTCAAAAGGGTCCAAAATTAAACTTTGTTTGATTTCATCAAAAATTGAATTATTGGGGTTCTTTGATATGCTGAATCTAAACATGTATTTTGATTTTGGAAATTGGACCATAATAGGTAAATTAAAAAAAATTGAAGTTCTTAGACCACATTCTTTCTGTGTCAGAAACCTATGCTGTGTCAAATATTTAATCACAATCCAAATTCAGAGCTGTATCAAGCTTGAATGTTGTGTCCATACTTGCCCCAACTGTTCAGGGTTCGACCTCTGCGGTCGTATCAAGCTGCGCCCAGCGAAGCATTTTATTACTGTTCTTAGAGTAATGCCCCTTTATGAATGAAAAAATTGCTAAATCTGTCGTTTCCGTTCTTTAACTTTAGTTTGCCTCAACCAAATGTTATGAAACTTATGCCTATAATCACAAAACCGTTTTAACTACTTGAATCCTGCATCTGTATGTGGATGTTGACTCATGCATATTTACAAGCGGGGGCATCTGTGGCTCATAGACACATTCTCCATTTATTTATAAAAATTCTACTGGAGATATTTTTTGTCCAAATTGAATGATTATTTTTGGGTAAAGATTGCATGAAATGCAATCAAAACCCTATGGCACTAACTTGATATTTGAGATACACAAAATATAGTGCATTGATCATAAAATTCTAAACATCCTATCCATGAACATTTTCAGAAATTTATCAATGAAATATATGCTCAGATATTCAAGTTACAAAATGATGTTATACTTGTCAAGAAAATTACATAACTTAAGGTGCAGGAATCTAATATTTTTTTTTAAAATATCAATGATGTCATTGTTTAAGTAATCTTTAAAATTGGAGTTATCTTCCTTTGTCTATAATTGTAGTTGAATCAACTACAACCAATGCTTTATACTAAGCAATGTTTAATTTGACTTACCACTGATAAATTAAAGCAAACTTTACACTTCAGTGCTTACAAGCACTTTGATTTTTATTTGATACAGAAATGTCTGTAGTTTCTTGCAATAATTATAAAATATATATATGATTTGTATTTTTAGGGAAATCACTGTTTAAAGACAAATATGAATTTCTGCACGAAAAAATCATATGGCTATATATATAGGAAAAAAATTACACTTAATTTCAATATTTGTATACAAATAATGATTTCTCAGTAAGGACATGTCATAAAAACATTTCATAATAACCATTAAAAGGTGTACACATTTATGAGTTTATCCTTAAAAATTTCCTCAAAATCAGACCTCAAATATAGTGAAATTTGGGATAGGTGAAACACTTTTGACCTTGGACTGTAGGTTTCTCATGAATTAAGTTAACTTAGTTTGTATTCCCCTGTCTCTAAGTGGCAGTTGCATATCATGTTACTCATTGCACGTTGTCCTTCTGTAATTAATAATTTGTCAAGTTTTTTTTCTTGCTTTGCCTGCAGATATTGATTTGAGTATTGGTACATTAGTGTTAAATAATGACTGTTAGATTTGAAATGTTATTATACCCCACGCAACGAGTTGCGGAGGGTATAATGTTTTTGACCCGTCCGTCCGTCTGTCCATCTGTCCGCCCGTCAGTCCTGTTACTTGTCATCGCAACTCCTCTCAAACCACACAACAGAATTTCACAAAACCTTTTTAGATAATAAGGACATACTATGTAGTTGTGCATATCGACAGGAAATTACGATTCAATTTTTTTCCCAGGAGTTACTCCCCTTTGAACTTATTTGCCCAATATTCTACTGCAACAGTTTGTCATCACAACTCCTCTCAAACCACACAACAGAATTTCATGAAACCTTTTCAGATAATAAGGACATACTACGTAGATGTGCATATCGACAGGAAATTACGATTCAATTTTTTTGTCAGGAGTTATGCCCCTTTGAACTTATTTGCCCAATATACTACTGCAACCTTTTGTCATCGCAACTCCTCTCAAACCACACAACAGAATTTCACGAAACCTTTTTAGATAATAAGGACATACAATGTAGTTGTGCATATCGACAGGAAATTACGATTCAATTTTTTTTTCTAGGAGTTACGCCCCTTTGAACTTATTTACTTTAATGTACTACTGCAAGTTTGTCAACTCAACTCCTCTGAAACCACACAACAAAATTTCATGAAACTTTGTAGATAATAAGGACATACTACGTAGATGTGCATATCGACAGGAAATTACAATTCAATTTTTTTTCCAGGAGTTACGCCCCTTTGAACTTATTTGCCCAATATACTACTGCAACCTTTTGTCATCGCAACTCCTCTCAAACCACACAACAGAATTTCATGAAACTGTGTAGATAATAAGGACATACTACGTAGATGTGCATATCGACAGGAAATTACGATTAAATTTTTTTTCCAGGAGTTACGCCCCTTTGAACTTATTTGCCCAATATACTACTGCAACCTTTTGTCATCGCAACTCCTTTCAAACCACACAACAGAATTTCATGAAACTGTGTAGATAATAAGGACATACTATGTAGATGGGCATATTGACAGGAAATTATGATTCAATTTTTTTTTCCTGATACAATTTTTTTTTCTTACACTTATTTTATTTCTCCAATGACAATGTGGGGACATGGGGTATGTGAGCGCACTCACTAAGGTTCTTTCATTAAGAACAATATTTATTTAAAGAAGAAATATAAAGAAATGTAAAAGAACTTATTAATTAATATTTATTTCAATTAACTTTTTAATTTAACAAGTTATTCATGAAGCGTGAAAGAAAGTGATTCCTATTGTTTGTTAAGTATTATGTTTTTAGTGTTTTAATTTATATTTTTACTTACGATGTATGTTAATGTGTATGTGTATTTATTGTAGAGAATCTGTTGTTACGATATACTGCCAAATGTAATTTTTGATTAATAAGGATATGTATAATTCTAACCGCATACTCGACTTTATTTGATGTGATCCGTACAATGACTTGCATATCCAGTTTCTTAAGACATATGTTCTTTTTTTAAATATATGCCAAATGAGTTTTTTGTCTCAGTTTTTGCAGTTCTTTGAATATGGAAATGTAATAGTGTTAGCTGGCATGGTGTCCTATGCACACCTATTCTTGTTATACCCCACGCAACGAGTTGCGGAGGGTATAATGTTTTTGACCCGTCTGTCCGTCCGTCAGTCCGTCAGTCCTTGTCATCGCAACTCCTCTCAAACCACACAACAGAATTTCACGAAACCTTTTTAGATAATAAGGACATACTATGTAGTTATGCATATCGACAGGAAATTACGATTCAATTTTTTTTCTAGGAGTTACGCCCCTTTGAACTTATTTACTTTAATGTACTACTGCAACAGTTTGTCATCTCAACTCCTCTGAAACCACACAACAAAATTTCATGAAACTTTGTAGATAATAAGGACATACTATTTAGATGTTCATATCGACAGGAAATTACGATTCAATTTATTTTCCAGGAGTTATGCCCCTTTGAACTTATTTGCCCAATATACTACTGCAACCTTTTGTCATCGCAACTCCTCTCAAACCACACAACAGAATTTCATGCAACCTTTTCAGATAATAAGGACATACTACGTAGATGTGCGTATTGACAGGAAATTATGATTCAATTTTTTTTCTAGGAGTTACGACCCTTTAAACTTATTTGCTTCAATATACCTCTGCAACAGTTTGTCATCGCAACTCCTCTGAAACCACACAACAGAATTTCATGAAACTTTGTAGATAATAAGGACATACTATGTAGATGTGCATATCGACAGGAAATGATGATTCAATTTTTTTTCAAGGAGTTACGACCCTTTAAACTTATTTGCTTCAATATACCTCTGCAACAGTTTGTCATCGCAACTCCTCTGAAACCACACAACAGAATTTCATGAAACTTTGTAGATAATAAGGACATACTAGGTAGATGTGCATATCAACAGGAAATTATGATTCCATTTTTTTTTCTTACAGTTATTTTATTTCTCCAGTGACATTGTGGGGACGTGGGGTATGTGAGCGCGCTCACTAAGGCTCTTTAATTTTATGTACAATTAGATGTCGTATTGATCACAGATGGTATTAAGATTAATAGTAAGTGAAATGATGCATTGATATTCAGAATTTTGGTAATTATTATTATTTTCTAATTGCAGGGGAATGGTTGGAAGAAGAAATGACCAGTTTAGATTTTACTGTTCAGTTGCTGATACTAGGATACATAGCACCAGAAAAATTGAAAAAGGTACAGTATCAATTAAAAAAAAAAGTGGTATTTTGTATACTTAGAGTGTAAGGATTTATAAAAAGAATTACAAGTGATCATTTTTTCATGATGCTGATTTGATATTCAAACTGGCTGAGGTAAAAACTTTGAAATTGTTTCTGATGTGTGGGAAAATTTGTATTTTGAAGAATACTTAAATTTTTAGTATGCTTCTACCATTGGTAATCATTGTCTCATTGACATTTATGAAATAGACTATTTTCATATTATAGATTTTGACTACAGAGTATATAAGTTTTCGACAGGTTGCCTTCACTGTGGTAGGACATTCTAGTACTCATCCAAGTAAGAGCAACTAAATGTGGTAGGACATTCTCGTGCTCGTCCAAGTAAGGGCAATGAAAAGAAGTAAAATCAAGCTCACAATCGTGCAATTCGGGGGGAAAATTAACTGTTTTTTAATAATTTATTGTGTATTGAAAACATTAAACAGTTAATGTTTTCCCCGAATTGCAGTGATTTTAAGCTTAATTTTATTTCTTTTGGTTGCTCTTACTTGACCGAGTACCAGAATGTCCTTCCACACAGTACGTAACCTGTCAAAAATTTTATACTCCAGAGTCAAATGTCAGTAATATTAGAATAGTCTATTGCACACCAAGATATTGCTATGGATAGTTTTCAATAGACATTATTTGAGTTGGAGTTTTCTCAAAAACATTTTTGTTTAAGCCTTGTTTAATTTATCAATATGATATAGTAAGGATCTTTTATCAGACTTACATGTACTTGTCCATGTCAAATATGTTTAAATTTTGTTAGTCAATTAAGAAAATGAACTAGTTTGACCTCTTATATGGTGATTAAGTTTTCGTTAATGCAAAAAATGTCAAAGAATGAACAATTAAAATCTGCATTTTAGTTTTTGCGGGAACCGGTAATATATTTAAAAAAAGAAGATGTGGTATGATTGTTAATGAGACAACTGTCTACCAGAGATTAAATGAGGTAGATGCAAGCAACTGTAGGGACTTCAATAATGAGCAAAACCCATACTGAATATTACTGGTAATCTATAAAAGGTTCCTGCATGAAAATATGTAAAACCATTCAAACGAGAAAACCAACTGCCTGATTTATGTACAAAGCAGTAAATGAAATACAAATGTGATAGACAGGGACCAATGACAACCACTAAATTACAGGCTCCTGACTTAGGACATGCACATGCAGAATATGTTGGGGGTTAATCATGTTTGCAAGCTCTCAACCTTCCTCTAGCATAAGAAAGTGGTGTAACAGCACAACATGAGAACAAACTGTAACATTCTGTTGATAAAGGCTTGACTCATCAGATTGACACAAAGCTAAAAAAAAACAAATAACAGAAAGAATTAGTTTCTGTCACGTTATTGTACATTCTTTAAGTTTCAAAAATATAAACCCACACATTACATTTTGATTCTAATAATCTTACAATTTAAAATTGAAAGTACTTCAGGGGGTTATTCTAATATTCGGTAAATGTTTGATTATGATAGACAGTACTGATATATTTTCAGGCATGTCATAATATCCGCAATGACCTGGCACAGTCTTCAGGTAGGTTTACCTTCTTAGTACCAATAACTGTGACACTATTGCAATAAGTTCATAGAAATGTCTTAAAATTTTTGGATTGCATCTTTCTCAAAACAATTTGGCACCTTAGCTATCGTTTAAGTGCAAATGAAATTTACACTAAGCAGTATATATGCAGGGTTATATAGTTTTTGACCTATCACACATTTAGGTGTTCCGGATGCTAATTCAAATACTTTTCATTGAATATATGATCATATATAATGAGAGAAAGATCCCTAATGATTTTGAGGTCACAACAGGGTCAAATTCATATTTATATATTTACCTACAATAGGTCGAAATTTGTGCAGAAAGTGATTTCCAGGTGATACATCAAATATTATACATGAAATTACAACTTATATACTTGATATATATGGACACATACAATGAGAGGAAGATCCCTATTGATTTTGAGGTCACTACATCTAAGGCCCATGTCAGTGACCAAAAATGAAAAGTTATTTGTGCAGGAAAGTGGTTCCATGATACTAAATCAAATAATTCATATCATCTAACAACCTTTATTTTAAATTGATATGTAGTTGAAGGAAGGGCCCAATTGATTTTGAAGTCACTAGGTCTAAGGTCAGGTTCATAGCTGCTCAAAAAATTGTTGGACAATATTACTGTCTGAGTCATAACAGAAAAGAATCTAACTTAAGTAAACAAAACAAACTATGCCAGCAGGTCTAATCTAATCTAATTTGGGTTAATGACAACAACCCTGTAGGGTATTGCGCCAGATTATCATATAATAAAAAAATTGTTATATTTAATTTCATGTTTTCAAATACCTTTTATCATGTTTATGGTTTAAAAAAAGAATTGCCTTTAGTTGTTTGTGAGTTTTTTGTTATTCCATTAAGTCCTACTATTTATTACTAATAGTTTATTTAATAATTATCAGATCTCTATAAGCTCTTTCCGTTTATATGGAAGGTATAAGGTTCTTTTAAGATTGATTACCATAAATGCCAATTTTTCATATTATGTGATTACTGCTCTAAGATTTTGTGAATATGTGATTACTTCTCAAAAATGTTTTTTGAATATGTGATTACCACTCCAAGGATTTGTGATTACTTCTCAAAAATGTTTTTTGAATATGTGATTACCACTCCAAGGATTTGTGAATATGTGATTACTTTTCAAAAATGTTTTTTGAATATGTGATTACCACTCCAAGGATTTTAGAATGAATATGTGATTACTTCTCAAAATTGTTTTATGAAAATGTGATTACCAGACTTTTCCCATGGGTTTAATGTACGTGTTTTTTGCTGACAGATACTAATATTGTGGACATATTTAGAATGTTTTCCATCAATGAGACAACGCTAACAGTGATAGGTTGTTTGTTTAATGAAGTTGACCTTCAGTTGGACCCTCACAGCATTGTTTTAGCCTTAGTACAGGTAAATTTATCAATTTTGAAGCTTATTTTTTCCAATTGCAAATAATTTATGTTTACCTGCAATAATAAACTGTACCATTTCTTTTAATTTTTAAGGACAAGAAATTTATGGTAATATTTTTTTTCAAAAATTTCATTGAGTAATAATCCAAACCAGGCCTAAAGTGGTCAAATGCATTAATATCTCTGCCTTTATCATCATATAGAGACACTAAACATTCCACTGTATGCTTTTCTATTAATACAACATTATGAATTGTTATAAGTATGTTATATGCTAAAATAATGTAATTCATCATCAGGAGTGCAGAATATACTAAAATTAGTTATATCAAAGTAGAAGGTCCGTTAAGGGCTAATTTCGGCCAAAAATTTGAAGTACATCTGATGAAAGAATTTTGACATTTTTAAACACTTAGCGTCTACTTCAGTCAATTCAATTAGTTTATGTTAAAGATTTAATCTGATTTGTTCAAAAGATGGGCAGGGCTTCAGCTTGTATACCTTATACTTAAATGTTATTGGATGTTAAGTATCATGCAGAGTATAATGTATACAAGCTGAAGCCCCACCTGTCTATTGAATGCAGATGTCAATCTTAATTACAATGCTAGAGCAAACATTTATACAAACAAAGCAAGCAAGCCCACCAAACCTTTAAACTACAAGCATTAGGAAAATAACTCCAAAGAAATCATAAATATCTAAGTTCTTTCTATCCAATTGCTGTGAAACTTGTAACTTTTATTGTCTTGACAATAAAAAACCATGAAAAATGAATAAAAATCAAGTTAATCATGCTTATAAATAGTCTGCTATTTTAGGTATTACCTTCCTTGATTGATGAATCATGGGTAAACTGTTGGTCTTTTGTTGGCTGCATGTTAAATCAGGAGAAATTGGCCATCAGGTATAAAGTTCAAGGTAGCAGAGAGGTAGTTACAGGACATTCTTCAGGTATGTAATTCGTAGTACAGAGAATCATACTTTAAGAAGCTACATTTTTTCAAATAATCAGTTATTATGACCACATCACTAGTTAACTGAATTACATTAATTGCAATCAATGGCGTTTGTTGTCTTTAACTTAAAAAAAAAATGTTCTCTGAAATCATTCTACCAATACCAACCAAACTTGGACTGCATGACCCTAAAGAATCTAGTGTAAAATTTATGTTTTTGTTCCTGTCAGTCAACCAAAAAAGACCATCAGGTTAAAATACAAAGGAATGTTTTGTTTAATGTCTTGAAAACCTTAATGGATGGAGAAAAACTGATTGTTCATAAATGTTCAAACGGTCAACATACCTTTTGTTCCATAAAAGTTATACCTATCTTCTGCATTTTTGACAATAATCATGAAAACCATAATAGATAAAGAGAATCTGTAAGCATAAAAATTTATTAGAAAGACAACATCTACAAATAAATTATCATTTCAGATCAATTGTAAATTGACTCCATGTAGGAGTTATTGCCCAATGTTTACCCATATTTTTTTACAATTTTGTTTTTTTTCTTTAAAGCTAAAAGATGAAGAGAATTAGCAAAAATGATCAGCTAGATAAGATTCACATATATAAACAAACATATCAGATTGCAATTAAGAACAAATATATTTTTATATCCTAACAGCATATTTTTGCCAGGTGAGTGATTCAGGCTCTTAGGAGCCTTTTGTTTGATTCATACCCTACTCTCAGACCCCTGAAACATTTCACCTCTTGATTAATAAAGAATATATTTTATTATGCCCCACCTACGATAGTAGAGGGGCATTATGTTTTTGAGTCTGTGCATCTGTTCATTCGTCTGTCCATCTGTCCCGCTTCAGGTTAAAGTGTTTGGTCAAGGTTGTTTTTGATGAAGTTGAAGTCCAATCAACTTGAAACTTAGTACACATGTTCCCTATGATTTGATCTTTCTAATTTAAATGCCTAATAAGAGTTTTGACCCCAATTTCACAGTCAACTGAACATAAAAAATGATAGTGCAAGTGGGGTATCCTTGTACTATGAACACATTCTTGTTTTTTTTTAAATCTAAATAGAGGTCTTAAATGTATTTAATAATTAAAGACTGTCTACTCTGCTTCCTGCCATCAACATTTCTGTAAACATTTAACAGTCATAAATTTAACTTTGGCTCAGAAGTTATCCATTTAGATTAAAATATGACTAAAGAATTGTTTTTATTCCTTTTTGTTGAGCCTGCGACTTTTGTCGCAAAAGCGAGACATAGCGATCCTACATTCCGTCGTCGTGGGCGGCGTCCACAAATATTCACTCTGTGGTTAAAGTTTTAGAAATTTTAATAACTTTCTTAAACTATCCTGAATTTCTACCAAACTTGGACAGAAGCTTGTTTATGATCATAAGATAGTATCCAGAAGTAAATTTTATTCCTTTTTGTCGAGCCTGCGACTTTTGTTACAAAAGCCAGAAATAGCAATCCTACATTCCGTCGGCAGCGGCATTGTCCACAAATATTCACTCTGTGGTTAAAGTTTTTGAAATTTTAATAACTTTCTTAAACTATCCTGGATTTCTACCAAACTTGGACAGAAGCTTGTTTATGATCATAAGATAGTATCCAGAAGTAAATTTTGTAAAAAAAAAATCCTGTTTATCCGTATTTTACTTATAAATGGACTTATTTTTTCTGCCAGTTAACATTACATTCACTCTGTGGTTAAAGTTTTTAAAATTTTATTAACTTTCTTAGAATATCCTGGACTTCTATCAAACTTGGACAGAAGCTTGTTTATGATCATAAGATAATATCCAGAAGTAAATTTTGTAAAAAAAAATCCTGTTTATCCGTATTTTACTTATAAATGGACTTAGTTTTTCTGCCAGTTAACATAACATTCACTCTGTGGTTAAAGTTTAAATTTTTTTTTATAACTTTCTTAAACTATCCTGGATTTGTACCAAACTTTGACAGAAGCTTGTTTATGATCAAAAGTTAGTATCTAGAAGGAAATTTTGTAAAAATTCATTTCCTGTGTTTCCGTATATTACTTATAAATGGACTTAGTTTTTCTTCCAGTTAACATTACATACAGTGTGCATTAAAAGTTTTTAAAACATTTATTAGATTCATAAACTATCCTGGATTTTTACCAAACTTGGACAGAAGCTTCAACTCTTTTATAAATCAATAGATTTGATTGCATACTGTATTCATTTTTTACAAGCATAACTTTTTTCATACATTTCAAATGTTTTATTTCATTAACTGTAAATCTATTATGCGAATTCCCCTATCACACTGAAAACATAGACAAAAGCAAAAGTAGGCGAGACACTAGGTTCCGCGGAACCCTTACAAATTTTTTTTATATTTATTTTAAAATTACTGACTATATGTAAGGAAGCTGCATATTAAATTAATTCTCTTACTTACTTGACTTTTCCTATGTTGCAGGATGTCATGAACTGATAGAGTCCCAGATGCTTTATGAAGTAACAACATTGCTACAGTATACAGATGTACGACAGAATAAATTGGTCCTCAATAATTATTTGAAGTCCTATGTGAAATTTCTTAAGGTTTGTATGGATAATAAATGGATTTTTTTACCCTGTGCAATCATAACAGATATGTAGGCATCATCCTGGTTGCCTTGGGAGTAGAACAAAGGACAAGGTTCACTTTAGTCCAAATATGGCCTTGAATTTCAGCTTTATCATAACATTTCAAAATTGCTATAATTTGGTTCTTAAATTGATCTATATTAAATGCCTTACTTCTTTGTTAAAATAAATCTCTTCATAAGAGTACATTCTTGGCTTCAGAATCAGCACATTTTAGATATATTGTCAAAATACGATGATTTTGTGCATTTTTCAGACCTAAAAGCTTGAGAAAACCCTTGGCCGAAACCTAGGATTCAAAATGTTCTGTAACCAAAAGTTGCCAATGATGATATTGAACTCCTAGACACAAAAACTTTCTGGATCATGGGTGGCAGCCAAAGTTAATTATGCCAAAAACTGTTAAGAATTGAAAATTTGACCAAAATTGACGTTACAACAAAAATAATGCATACTAAAGGAGTCAATACTTTGTCATTTTTAATGTGATGTGCCAAAATGAAGTTATTTTGTATTGATAGTAATATCACAACTATTTCTATGTGAAATTTGTAGTAGTTTGGCCTGATTAAAAAAAACATCAAAATCTTAGGGCCAAATTTAACTCTTCGTGAACCTACTCCTTTCAATGTAACATAAGTTAACAACACTGAAGTAGTATTTGCCAGCCCGAGATTTTTCTGTATCGCCTTACTGCAACAAAAGATAATTCATTTGTTTTCCAGAATTATTTTTGATATGTTACATGTTGATACAATGCATCATTATTTTTTTATACATGAAGGAAGGAAAAGTTTTTTTCAGTCTAATATAGTATTGTAAGAACTTTTAATACTGTAGATTTTAAACTTCTTTTCATTTTAAAGGTGAGTAACTATAAAATCAAACAATACCTAAATGCGAACAAAAAGTTAAGACAACCTTTGGCAAAGTTTTAATTTTTATCTGTGAAATATAAAAGGTCAACAGTGGTAAACAAGTGATGAAGAAAACTAGGTGTTGGAGATTTTCTTCATACACTTATTAAGATTTTATTTGGAATAGACAGGTGTTTGCTTTATACAGGTTGAATTACTTAAGACTATTTAATTAAGAGTTACTACTGTGCTTCGTTGATTGTATGTTCAGTTTACACAGTTTTCCAGTTGACACAAGATTCTGGTAGACCAATTTTAATGGGTTGCTTTTCCAAAATATTGATGATCTAAGCCAGATTATTATTATGTTTGGGGGGATTCATAACATGTGTTGAAAACTTTTTGTTAAGATATTCATTTATAAAAGTCCTGTTGCCTGTTCCAGAAAAGTTTCTTGATGAAGAGAGGGGAAATATACCAAAGAGATATTCAAACTCATAATTTGAAAACAAACTGACAATGTCATGGGAAAAAAAGAATTGAGTTCCCTATTTATTGAAATTTTTGTTATGAGTATAAAAATGCATGTTTTAAATTCAGTTTTTAGTTCAGGGAATGTATTTTTTTTTAAAAAACTTTTATAAAAACAACTGAGTGTTTTTTCTTTCTTTCAGGAATACGTTGTTGTAGAGGATGAAGGATTGAAACCAGAGGGAGAAGAAAGAGGATTTCTGTTGTCAGAGGTTTTCTCTCATGTTGTCAGAGGAATGTGGTGGATGGATGATTCTGATTCTGATCCTTGCAACATTTTATTACTAGATATTGTCTGCAGCATGGAAGATGTCAACATTAACACAGAGGAGAAAAAAGTTCTCATTGAAAATATAGCAGATTGTGTTCATTTCATTAAAAATAAAGACACATTATCAATGGTTGATAAAAAGCTAAAAGATATTTTTAAAAATTTGAATGATTGAAAATAAATATTCTTTAAGATAGTTAACTACTAGTAGTTCTTTGTTAATTTATGTTTATAATTGTCATTTTGTTAGTTTATTCTGCTACCTATTCTAACATTGGACTCAGACTTCTATTGAACAGAGTTTTATTGTGCACTTTGCTGTGTGTTTGTTTATTCCACCTTGGCTACAGGTGTAGGAAGACAGTTGAGATTTCACAAAACATGTTTAACCCTGCCACATTTTTGCACCTATCCCCAGTCAGGAAACCTCAGCCTTTGTTATTCTTGTTTTTTTTTTTTTAGTTATGGTTCATTTGTATGATTCGGGGTTTAGTGTGGCGTCCAATTTGCTGAACTAGTATACATTATTGTTTAGGGGCCAGCTGAAGCCCGCCTCCGGGTGCGAGATTTTCTCGTCGCGTTGAAGACCCATTGGTGAACTTGGGCTGTTTTCTGCTCTTCAATTGGGTTGTTGTCTCTTTAACACAGTTCTTGTTTCCATTCTCTATTCTATTCAATATACTTTCAATTTCAAGAAAAATTGGGAAAAAATAACTTTAAAGCTGTTAAGTGCATACACTGTGTTCATATTAATTTGTCAAAAAATATTTGGCATTTCGTGCATCAGTACATTATGAACACTTGGTACTTTTCTCTCCAACTGCTGAAGACAATGAGACCAAACTTAGCACAATTGCTCCAAAACTTGTTACTTTGTTTTGTGATTCAATTACAAAAATGGACAGCACAGTTGATTTTTTTTCGTATAGTTTTTGAAAGAAAAAAGGTGCCAATATTAAATGTATGAAAAATCTAGAGAATCATTTCAGGAAAATTTTAAATGGCTTATATCTCAAAAACAAGGACACAGACCTTGCATTTTTTTCTGCTTTGTTCCCTTAGATATATACTATCAATTTATAACGGTCTTTAAAAAGGTTGTTATCCTTAAACAGAGTAGCGAACATCCTTAAAATGGCAAATTGATGAAATTAGGATAACAGGATGTAAAATATTTGGCACAATGCAGGTAGGGAACATGCATATTTTTAATTTCCCTAAGGACAGCATTTAACATAGATTTTTTAAGGTGCTTTGTTTCAAAATGAACTTTTTGAAGGACTGTTATAAAAACTATAAAAAAAGATTGTAAGGATTTTATAAGATTTTCTAACATATGTTTTTAAATTATGAAAAGAAAAGTAGGGGTTGGCATTCAAATTTTTTAATAGCACTACATGGTTAAAACCAGAGGATTCCGAACATCTGACAAAAAGCTTAAAAACTCAATCCTTAACAATACCACTGACAGTTTATTGTCAGAATAAAGGTCAATGTAATAACTAAATTTACTATTGGCAACTCATTTGTTGAATCTCTGCATTGGACTGGAGTACCACATCCAGTCTGTCTGTTTTTTTTTTTTTAATTTTTATGCCTCTGTGACAAAATATTGAGGGGCATATTAATTTACCCCTGTCCGTCAATCCGTCCCTTCATCTATCTCTTTGTCCATTTGGATGGTTTGTCCGGCTATCTCCTCCTACAGCTTTGATATTTTGTAGGATGTTTTGGAGGTGTGCATGTCCAGAGGATTAAAATTTTTTACGAATATTTTTAAAATGCCAGGTAGTTGGACTACGTCCATTTTCTCTTATTGCTGCATAAAGGGACAATGGTTTGTTCAGCTTTCTCCTCCTACAGTTTTGGACCTACCAGCTTTAATATTTTGTGGGATGTTTATACACATATGATAGAGGTGTCCATGTCCACATGATTTTGATTTTTCTCAAACATTCTGAAAATGACAGGTAGCTGGTCATTTTTAGCTCACCAGGCCCGAAGGGCCCCATGTGAGCTTATGCCATCACTTGGCGTCCGTCGTCGTCGTCTGTCGTAAACTATTTCAAAAATCTTCTCCTCTGAAACTACTGGGCCAAATACCTTCAAACTTTAACTAAATGTTCCTTAGGGTATCTAGTTTATAAATTGTATCCGAAGTTTTTATCCATTGACAAACATGGCCGCCATGGCTAAAAATAGAACATAGGGGTCAAATACAGTTTTTGGCTTGTATCTCAAAAACTAAAGCTTTTAGAGCAAATCTGACATGGAGTAAAATTGTTCAATTGGTCAAGATGTATCAGCTCTGCAATTTTCAGATGAATCGAACAACCCATTGTTGGGTTGCTGCCACCGAATTGGTAGTTTTAACAAAATTTTGCAGTTTTTATACGACCGCAAAAAAATTTTTGTGGTCGTATATTGGTATGACGTTGGCGTTGTCTTCGTCGTCGTCTGGCGTCGTCCGGCGTCGTCCGAAGACACATTGGTTTTCGCACTCTAACTTTAGTTTAAGTGAATGGATCTCTATGAAATTTTACCACAAGGTTCAATACCACAAAAGGAAGGTTGGGATTGATTTTGGGGGTTATGGTATCAACAGTAAAGGAATTAGGGGCCAAAAATAAGCATTTTTGTAACTTCCAGACATAACTTGTGTGTTAGTGTATGGATCTCTCTGACATTGTACCACAAGGTTCCATATCACAAAAGAAATGCTGGGATTGATTTTGGGGGTAATTGCCTCAAAATTTTAGGAATTAGGGGCCAAAAAAGGGGCAAAAAACAAGCATTTTTCTAGTTTCATGACAATAACTTGTGTGTAAGTATATGGATCTTTCTGAAATTTTACTACAAGGTTCCATATCACAAAGGGAAAGCTGGAATTGAGTTTGGGGGTAATTGCTGAAACGTTTAGGAATTGGGGGCCAAAAAGGGGCCAAAAATAAGCATTTTTCTAGTTTCCAGACAATAACTTGTGTTCAAGTGTATGGATCTCTCTGAAATTGTACTGCAAGGTACCATACCACAAAGGGAAGGCTGGGATTGATGATGGGGGTAATTGCCTCAAAATTTTAGGAATTAGGGGGCCAAAAAGGGGCAAAAAACAAGCATTTTTCTAGTTTCAGGACAATAACTTGTAGGTTAGTGTATGGATCTTTATGAAATTGTACTACAAGGTTCCATATCACAAAGGGAAAGCTGGGTTTGAGTTTGGGGGTAATTGCCCCAAACGATTAGGAATAAGGGGCCAAAAAACACATTTTTCTAGTTTCCAGACAATAACTTGTGTTCAAGTGTATGGATCTCTCTGAAATTTTACTGCAAGGTACCATACCACAAAGGGAAGGCTGGGATTGAGTTTGGGGGTGATGAATCATAAGGGGTTCAAAAAAATTGGGGGGGGGGGGGGGGGGTTTTTTTTTCCTTTTTTTTCTTTTTTTCATTTTTTTTTTCTTTTAAAATTTTCCATTTTAAGTTGGTTATTTCTGATTTATATTTAAAAGCAGATAATAATGATATGGTAGGAGATACACACCAAACAGGATGTGTAAATTATTATATAATAAGTATTGTGCAATAGCAAGAAATTTTCAATTGCACAGTATTGCACAATAGCAAGAAATCTTCAATTGCACAGTATTGCGCAATAGCAAGAAATTTTCAATTGCACAGTATTGCACAATAGCAAGAAATCTTCAATTGCACAGTATTGCGCAATAGCAAGAAATCTTCAATTGCACAGTATTGCGCAATAGCAAGAAATATCCAATAGCACAATATTGCGCAATAGCAAGAAATTGTCAATTGTACAGTATTGCACAATAGCAAGAAATATTTAATTGCACAGTATTGTGCAAGAGAAGATACTTCGTATAAATTGCTTATTTCTTGACCAATTTCAATGGGGTTTTATTCTTGAATTCTTGGGGTTTTTTAATATGCTGAATCATACCGTGTATTCAATTTTTGGATTTTGGGCCCCGTTTTTAAATTGGTCCACATTGAGGTCCTAAGGGTCCAAAATTAAACTTTGTTTGATTTCATCAAAAATTGAATTATTGGGGTTCTTTGATATGCCGAATCTAACCGTGTATTTAGATTCTTAATTTTTGGTTCCGTTTTCAAATTGGTCTACATTAAGGTCCAAAGGGTCCAAAATTAAACTTAGTTTGATTTTAACAAAAATTGAATTCTTGGGGTTCTTTGATATGCTGAATCTAAACATGTATTTAGATTTTTGATTATGAGCCCAGTTTTCAAGTTGGTCCAAATCGGGGTCCAAAATTAAACTTTGTTTGATTTCAACAAAAATTGAATATATGGGGTTCTTTGATATGCTGAATCTAACCATGTATTTAGATTTTTGATGTTTGGGCCCCGTTGTCAACTTTGTCCACATTGAGGTCAAAAGGGTCCAAAATTAAACTTTGTTTGATTTCATCAAAAATTGAATTCTTGGGGTTCTTTGATATGCTGAATCTAAACATGTATTTAGATTTTTGATTATGAGCCCAGTTTTCAAGTTGGTCCAAATCGGGGTCCAAAATTAAACTTTGTTTGATTTCAACAAAAATTGAATATACGGGGTTCTTTGATATGCTGAATCTAACCATGTATTAAGTTTTTTGATTTTTGGGCCCTGTTGTCAACTTTGTCCACATTGAGGTCAAAAGGGTCCAAAATTAAACTTTGTTTGATTTCATCAAAAATTGAATTCTTGGGGTTCTTTGATATGCTGAATCTAACCATGTATTTAGATTTTGGATATTGGACCATAATAGGTGAATGTCCAATTTAAAATTTTTAAGTTCTTAGATCACATTCATTCTGTGTCAGAAACCTATGCTGTGTCAAATATTTAATCACAATCCAAATGCAAAGCTGTATCAAGCTTGAATGTTGTGTCCATACTTGCCCAAACTGTTCAGGGTTCGACCTCTGCGGTCGTGTCAAGCTGCGCCCTGCGGAGCATTTTATTTGTTATTATTTTGAATATTATTATAGATATATATAAACTGTAAGCAGCAATAATGTTCAGCAAAGTAAGATCTACAAAAAAGTTAATATGACCATAATTGTAAATTGACCCCTTAAGGAGTTATTGCCCTTTAAAGACAATTTTACACAATTTGTTCATCAAGTTTGCTAACATTTAAAAATCTTCTCCTCTGAAACTACTGGGCCAATTACCTTCAAACTTTATC